GTGCCAGACATATGCCTTACTTGATAATGCCAGTACTTTGTGCCAGACATATGCCTTACTTAATAATGCCAGTACTTTGTGCCAGACATATGCCTTACTTGATAATGCCAGTACTTTGTGCCAGACATATGCCTTACTTAATAATGCTAGTACTTTGTGCCGGACATATGCCTTACTTAATAATGCCAGTACTTTGTGCCAGACATATGCCTTACTTGATAATGCCAGTACTTTGTGCCAGACATATGCCTTACTTGATAATGCCAGTACTTTGTGCCAGACATATGCCTTACTTGATAATGCCAGTACTTTGTGCCGGACATATGCCTTACTTGATAATGCCAGGACTTTGTGCCAGACATATGCCTTACTTGATAATGCCAGTACTTTGTGCCGGACATATGCCTTACTTGATAATGCCAGTACTTTGTGCCAGACATATGCCTTACTTGATGATGCCAGTACATAGTGCCAGACATATGCCTTACTTGATAATGCCAGGACTTTGTGCCAGACATATGCCTTACTTGATAATGCCAGTACTTTGTGCCAGACATATGCCTTACTTGATAATGCCTGTACATAGTGCCAAACATATGCCTTACTTGATAATGCCAGTACTTTGTGCCGGACATATGCCTTACTTGATAATGCCTGTACATAGTGCCAAACATATGCCTTACTTGATAATGCCAGTACTTTGTGCCGGACATATGCCTTACTTGATAATGCCAGTACTTTGTGCCAGACATATGCCTTACTTAATAATGCCAGTACATAGTGCCAGACATATGCCTTACTTGATAATGCCAGTACTTTGTGCCGGACATATGCCTTACTTGATAATGCCAGTACTTTGTGCCAGACATATGCCTTACTTAATAATGCCAGTACATAGTGCCAAACATATGCCTTACTTGATAATGCCAGTACTTTGTGCCAGACATATGCCTTACTTGATAATGCCAGTACTTTGTGCCAGACATATGCCTTACTTGATAATGCCAGTACTTTGTGCCAGACATATGCCTTACTTAATAATGCCAGTACTTTGTGCCGGACATATGCCTTACTTGATAATGCCAGTACTTTGTGCCGGACATATGCCTTACTTGATAATGCCTGTACATAGTGCCAGACATATGCCTTACTTGATAATGCCAGTACTTTGTGCCGGACATATGCCTTACTTGATAATGCCAGTACTTTGTGCCGGACATATGCCTTACTTGATAATGCCAGGACTTTGTGCCAGACATATGCCTTACTTGATAATGCCAGTACATAGTGCCAGACATATGCCTTACTTGATAATGCCAGTACATAGTGCCAGACATATGCCTTACTTGATAATGCCAGTACATAGTGCCAGACATATGCCTTACTTGATAATGCCTGTACATAGTGCCAAACATATGCCTTACTTGATAATGCCAGTACTTTGTGCCGGACATATGCCTTACTTGATAATGCCTGTACATAGTGCCAAACATATGCCTTACTTGATAATGCCAGTACTTTGTGCCGGACATATGCCTTACTTGATAATGCCTGTACATAGTGCCAAACATATGCCTTACTTGATAATGCCAGTACTTTGTGCCGGACATATGCCTTACTTAATAATGCCAGTACATAGTGCCAGACATATGCCTTACTTAATAATGCCAGTACTTTGTGCCGGACATATGCCTTACTTGATAATGCCAGTACTTTGTGCCAGACATATGCCTTACTTGATAATGCCAGTACATAGTGCCAAACATATGCCTTACTTGATAATGCCAGTACTTTGTGCCAGACATATGCCTTACTTGATAATGCCAGTACTTTGTGCCAGACATATGCCTTACTTAATAATGCCAGTACATAGTGCCAGACATATGCCTTACTTAATAATGCCAGTACTTTGTGCCGGACATATGCCTTACTTGATAATGCCAGTACTTTGTGCCAGACATATGCCTTACTTAATAATGCCAGGACTTTGTGCCAGACATATGCCTTACTTGATAATGCCAGTACATAGTGCCAGACATATGCCTTACTTGATAATGCCAGTACTTTGTGCCAGACATATGCCTTACTTAATAATGCCAGTACTTTGTGCCAGACATATGCCTTACTTAATAATGCCAGGACTTTGTGCCAGACATATGCCTTACTTGATAATGCCAGGACTTTGTGCCAGACATATGCCTTACTTGATAATGCCAGGACTTTGTGCCGGACATATGCCTTACTTGATAATGCCAGGACTTTGTGCCAGACATATGCCTTACTTGATAATGCCAGTACTTTGTGCCAGACATATGCTTTACTTAATAATGCCAGTACTTTGTGCCAGACATATGCCTTACTTAATAATGCCAGGACTTTGTGCCAGACATATGCCTTACTTGATAATGCCAGTACATAGTGCCAGACATATGCCTTACTTGATAATGCCAGGACTTTGTGCCAGACATATGCCTTACTTGATAATGCCAGGACTTTGTGCCGGACATATGCCTTACTTGATAATGCCAGTACTTTGTGCCAGACATATGCCTTACTTGATAATGCCAGGACTTTGTGCCGGACATATGCCTTACTTGATAATGCCAGGACTTTGTGCCGGACATATGCCTTACTTGATAATGCCAGTACTTTGTGCCAGACATATGCCTTACTTGATAATGCCAGTACTTTGTGCCAGACATATGCCTTACTTGATAATGCCAGTACTTTGTGCCAGACATATGCCTTACTTGATAATGCCAGTACTTTGTGCCAGACATATGCCTTACTTGATAATGCCAGTACATAGTGCCAGACATATGCCTTACTTGATAATGCCAGTACTTTGTGCCGGACATATGCCTTACTTGATAATGCCAGTACTTTGTGCCAGACATATGCCTTACTTGATAATGCCAGTACTTTGTGCCAGACATATGCCTTACTTGATAATGCCAGTACTTTGTGCCAGACATATGCCTTACTTGATAATGCCAGGACTTTGTGCCGGACATATGCCTTACTTGATAATGCCAGGACTTTGTGCCAGACATATGCCTTACTTGATAATGCCAGTACTTTGTGCCGGACATATGCCTTACTTGATAATGCCAGTACTTTGTGCCAGACATATGCCTTACTTGATAATGCCAGTACTTTGTGCCAGACATATGCCTTACTTGATAATGCCAGTACTTGGTGCCAGACATATGCCTTACTTAATAATGCCAGTACTTTGTGCCAGACATATGCCTTACTTGATAATGCCAGTACATAGTGCCAGACATATGCCTTACTTGATAATGCCAGTACTTTGTGCCGGACATATGCCTTACTTGATAATGCCAGTACTTTGTGCCAGACATATGCCTTACTTAATAATGCCAGTACATAGTGCCAGACATATGCTTTACTTAATAATGCCAGTACTTTGTGCCGGACATATGCCTTACTTGATAATGCCTGTACATAGTGCCAGACATATGCCTTACTTGATAATGCCTGTACTTTGTGCCAGACATATGCTTTACTTGATAATGCCAGTACATAGTGCCAGACATATGCCTTACTTGATAATGCCAGTACTTTGTGCCAGACATATGCCTTACTTGATAATGCCTGTACATAGTGCCGGACATATGCCTTACTTGATAATGCCAGTACATAGTGCCAAACATATGCCTTACTTAATAATGCCAGTACTTTGTGCCAGACATATGCCTTACTTGATAATGCCAGTACTTTGTGCCAGACATATGCCTTACTTGATAATGCCAGTACTTTGTGCCAGACATATGCCTTACTTGATAATGCCAGTACTTTGTGCCGGACATATGCCTTACTTGATAATGCCAGTACTTTGTGCCAGACATATGCCTAACTTGATAATGCCAGTACTTTGTGCCAGACATATGCCTTACTTGATAATGCCAGTACTTTGTGCCAGACATATGCCTTACTTGATAATGCCAGTACTTTGTGCCAGACATATGCCTTACTTAATAATGCCAGTACATAGTGCCAGACATATGCCTTACTTGACAATGCCAGTACTTTGTGCCAGACATATGCCTTACTTGATAATGCCAGTACTTTGTGCCAGACATATGCCTTACTTGATAATGCCAGTACTTTGTGCCAGACATATGCCTTACTTGATAATGCCAGTACTTTGTGCCAGACATATGCCTTACTTGATAATGCCAGTACTTTGTGCCAGACATATGCCTTACTTAATAATGCCAGTACATAGTGCCAGACATATGCCTTACTTGATAATGCCAGTACTTTGTGCCAGACATATGCCTTACTTGATAATGCCAGTACTTGGTGCCAGACATATGCCTTACTTAATAATGCCAGTACTTTGTGCCAGACATATGCCTTACTTGATAATGCCAGTACATAGTGCCAGACATATGCCTTACTTGATAATGCCAGTACTTTGTGCCGGACATATGCCTTACTTGATAATGCCAGGACTTTGTGCCAGACATATGCCTTACTTAATAATGCCAGTACAGTAAACTACGGTTATAACGAACACGCTTATAACGAACTGACGGATATAACGAACTTACTTTTTGGTCCCGACTACTTGCTGTAGTCATGCTGTATATGTACTTATAACGATCTACGGTTATAACGAACTAAAATTAGTAGTCCCTTTGAGTTCATTATAACCGTAGTTTACTGTACTTTGTGCCAGACATATGCCTAACTTGATAATGCCAGTACTTTGCCTTACTTCAAGTAACACAATTAAATAAATTGTGTTATAAATGATATCATTAAGTGATGTTTTGTTTGATATTTATACTTGAGATATAAGTGATACAGCAAAAGGGATTTTTTTACATTTAAGTTTTTTTATTTTATTATGACAACATCACTTGCATAATGATTGACTTGTTGCACTTAATAAAATATTAAGAAACTACTACTCACTCACTCACTCATTCACTCACTCACTCACTCACTCAGTGACTATTTTGTTCCAGGTGTAGGGATCTGACATACCGAGATACTCTTCCTGACTCCAGCGTAGTAATCTGCTTCCACAATGAGGCGTGGACAGTCTTATTGAGAACAGTTCACTCAGTCATAGACCGGTCTCCAACACATCTGCTGAAGGAAATAGTTCTTGTAGATGATTACTCCGACATGGGTAAGTTTTTTATATATATATATGGCACTGTATAAAGAATCTTATAAATTGCAAGAGTAACTGGGCTATATTTCTAAAAATTAATATGAAATTTGAAAATATATTTTAAGAATCAAGTGAAATATTTTCTTAAAAATGGAGTTTTAATAAAAGTTCAAATTGTTGAAATAAAAATACAAACTAAAATATGTTCAAGCATATTTTTAAAAAACAAACAACTCTTTTTGCAATATCTTGGCAGTTTCAACAACAAAATAATTGTAACCTGCAGGTTAAATCGTTCGCTTGACTTGTCTGAAGATCTGTATTTGATTCCCCAGTGGATACAGACCTAGAAATCAGGAATATTGCAAAATTATGAGATCAACATATTGGGTTTTCTTTATGTAGATACATGTGGCGGTCGGGTAGCCTAGTGGTTAAAGCGTTCACTCGTCACGCAGAAGACCCGGGTTCGATTCCCGACATGGGTACAATGTGTGAAGCCCATTTCTGGTGTCCCCCGCCGTATTGCTAAAAGCGGCGTAAAACCATACTCACTCACTCACTTATGTAGATACATGTGTCCATCATATCAGCTGTTTCAATCAGAGGTGGTTAATGTGATTTAAAACCTCAGATTGACAAGTCGGAATCAAGCATTTTCCAAATTCATGGTAGAATGTGATGTAATAGTCGACTCGCTTCCAAAAACAAGCAACAAAAAAATATCGGATCTGAGCTTGTAATGCCGGTGCCCTTAACTTCATGAGTCTTTTATGTGTGCTTCATTCAGTTTTGACCTCTCCATCACGACATCACTTTTCATGTGTCAGATTTCATCCGTGTAAAGGCAGTGGATTTCCCATTTCTCTTTGCAGACCATCTAAAAAAGCCGTTAGAAGATTACATGAATAAGCTAAAGATAGTAAAGATCGTTCGGACCAAGGAGAGGGAAGGCTTGATACGAGCCCGACTTCTCGGGTTTGCTGCAGCAACAGGCGATGTTGTGACCTTTCTAGATTCACATTGTGAATGCACTGAAGGTAAGGTATATCAACATTGAATTTTGACTTTAGAATTGGTTGACACAATCATGAAATGGGTACTTTATGAATTTGTTAGTTTTGCCCAGTAATCTTCATTGTGTGTGGGGGCACTGTGGCCCAGTCGTCTAAGGCGCCGCGATTCGCTGTGCAGAGTTGCGTCCCTTGGGCAGGCCAGAAATCAAGTGGGTTCGAATCCCGGTTCGCCCCGATTATGTTTCTAGGTTTGTCAGCACCATACCCGTGCTTGTGGGTCTAACCGAAGTGGTAAACGTCTGAGACCTGCATCACTTCGGGCTTTCCTCCCACGTTAAGCTGACACACCGTAATATAACTGGAATACTGTTAAAAGTGGCGTTAAACCCAACTCACTCACTCATTGTGTGTAGTGTACAACATCAATAGTATTGCTGATAGATCACGTACTTCAAGCATTGTGAGTGCACATTGCTCTGTAGGCATTTGGTTAGATCGTTCTTTCCACAGTACATAAAATTTGATTAAATAAAATAAATTGTTGGATTGAAAACCCATGAAGATATGGGGTAGAAGAGGTCTTCAGCAACCAATGCTTGCATTAAAAGGCGACTGTGATTGTCGTAAGAGGCGACTAACGGGATCAGGAGGTCAGGCTCGCTGACTTGGTTGATGCATGCCATCGGCTGTTGATGTACCTCGCAGCAAATTGTGGATCTTTGCTCATGATGTCAGTCATTGGTTTGTCGGCCTAGATTTGATACGATGCTGTGATATTCCAGAAAAAGTCAGTCGATTGTCTGGTCCAGACTCGATTAGTTACAGCACGTCGTCATGTGGCTTGAATGTTGTTGAGTGCAGTGATAAACAAAAAACATGCACACAACCCATATTTAAATATCTCATATGTAGGTATTTAAAAAGATATCCTTTTAACACTCCTCCATCAAATTGTTTATTTTATATATGTATGTATATACATTGTGTATATATTTTATCATATTTATATGGTTGTTTGTTTTTAGGATGGCTGGAACCAATGTTGGATCGTATTGCAGAAAATAAATCCATTGTCGTTTGTCCTGTCATTGACGTCATTGAAGACGATTCGTTTAAATATCAATATGGCAGTGCTAAAGCGACTAGTATTGGAGGCTTTGACTGGAATTTGCAGTTCACGTGGCACAGCATCCCCGAATATGAGAGAACACGCAGAGCTAACGATATATTACCTGTCAGGTAACAGTCAGTCACCATAGCAACAGATTTGACATTTTTTATTTGTTTACCTTTTACTTTTTGCAAGGTAAATAAATAAGATTTTACTTACCAACAGAAGCCATGGCAGATAGCATGAATTTCTTTTCCATCTGGGGTGGTGGGGTAGCTTAGTGGTGAATGTGTTCGCTCGTCACTCCAAAGACCCAGGTTCGATTTCCCACATCTGTGAAGCCCATTTCTGTTATCCCCTGCCTTGATATTGCTGAAATATTGCCAAAAGTGGAGTAAAACCCACTCACTCACTCACTCTTCTCCATCTGTTATGGTGCTGTGGACCCATCTTGGAGTTATCTCCCCTTATTCCCCAACTCGAATGTATTTGTTTGAATGTTACCGGTATTGATAAGAGAGTTCTATACATAGGTTGATTACAAATAGGCATATCAGATCATATGTAGGATTGCACTTTTTGTAAACTTTCTTATTACATGTTTATTAATATTTGTGATCAACTGAAAAATAATGTACTAAGCACTTCCTAAAATCTGTCACTGTCAAGGTCACGTTCTATTTTCCTCAAATAAACAGGAAAATGAAGGAAATCGCATAGGTATACACACATGTGTAACAGCGTGAAGGAGAGAGTCGCGTTTGTTTTGGGGTGGGTTACTAGTAGCTGGCAGTCCTGGTGTATGTTCAGACTCAAAGTGGGTATATCAGTATAAACAACCACACAATATCACCATTACCATAACTGTTTTGGATAACAGCTCCTTTATTGATTATAAAGTCTATTTTATTGATTATGACCACTTTTTCATATATAATAACCACCTTTTTTAATAATTGTAACCACTTTGTCATTGATTATAACCACCTTTTTTATTGTTTATAACCACTTTTTATTGTTTATAACCACTTTTTATTGATTATAACACCTTTTTTATTAATTATAACCACTTTTTATTGATTATAACCTTTTTATTGATTCGTTCGGTTCCAAATTCAATTTAGCGTGGTTAAATCTACAGGTAACCTAGCTCTGCATTGAAAACACAGTATGTTTATCTCCTAATTAATTCCCCTTACAAAGCCCATATATTTACATAATAGTCCGTCTTATATATTTGTACAGAAAACACAAGGATATATAATTTCCTGGTAACTATTGTCAAAAAGGTTTTAGTTTCATCCATTTTTGAAGTATATTTGTACTGTACCTCCCAATCTCTAAAAATAGATGTAACTTGTATATAGTTATAATTAGCGCCCTGCAAATTTCTTAAGCACCCTTTTTACAGTGAATACATTATCTCCACACTCTGAAGACCCCAAGTTCTATTTCCTGGAATATAGCTTAAATGAAACCAGCACAGAGGATAAAAAGATCTGTACACTCTTCTCTTAATGCCATTGGGGTGGTGGGGTAGCTTAGGTGTTCACTCGCAATGCTGAAGGTCTGGGTTTGAATCTCAATAGGTTTACAATGTAAACATTTTCAAACTGTCCCATGCAGTGATAGTGCTGTGTTATTGCCAATGAGAACATAGTTGCACCATGATAAATGTCCTTATGTCACTGAAGATCACAAGTTAATATTATTCTTAACCAAAATATTGACAGGGTTGTTGGCGTTCTATTTCCCTCTGTTTCCCTTTCTTTCATACACACTGTATATCATAGATCAGTGTTTCTCAGCTTTACAGTCAGTTCGGGGGCACGGGGTGGCCCAGTCGTCTAAGGCGCCGCGATTCGCTGTGCAGAGTTGCGTCCCTTGGGCACACCAGAAACCTTTGATTGTGGGTTCGAATCCCGGTTTTCTATGTTATGTTTCTAGGTTTGTCAGCACCATACCCGTGCTCGTGGGTTTCACCGAAGTGGTAAACGTCTGAGACCTGCATCACTTCGGGCTTTCCTCCCACATTCAGCTGACACGCCGTGATATAACTGGAATACTGTTAAAAGGGGCGTTAAACCCAACTCACTCACTCACCTTTCTTTCATACACACTGTATATCATAGAACAGTGTTTCTCAGCTTCAAAGTCAATTCAATCTTTCTTTATAAATATTGGCTTGTCTTACTTACATTGCTTGAGTGGCTCTCTGTATATTCTTTAACTTCATCAGCCAATCACTATGCTTCTTATATTTCCTTCATGTGAATCTGACCAATGCCAGCTTTTGTTGTATCTGTGTGTACAGGTGTTGTGTTAATGTGTAACCTCTCTAACCTGTTTAACTAACCTTTACCAACTTGTAAGTCATGAAACAAATCAGTCTTGTGTTTATTTCAATTTACTAATCCAATATATTTATGAGTATATAAAGTTTTGATGTTTGACCGAAAACTATGTTTAAAAAACAGTCCAGTTCAAAGAAATTGAGATATAACTTATTTTCGGTGATTTATTTGAAGCTCACTGAAACACATTTTTTTCAAAAGTCAGTATAATATAGAGAGTTTAAATATTTATATTTTTTTAATAATTTTCATATTTTATATTTCCTACTCAATTTTTGACATGGACAGCTCTGTTATTTCTTTGTATACAGAAATGTCCCTATCAGATGGGGAGTAGTTATTGTTTGTTAGATTACCAAACATGAAAGTAATAAGTCTCTATGAAAAGCTAGTTAGCATTGAGCATACAAAATGAAGCCATTGCAAGCACGCTGAGAAGCACACCCAGTAACACAATGCCGAGCACACACTTCTGTGGTTTATACATGGTGACTTACTGTATGGTACATAACACCTAATTATTGCACTAGTTTCCCTTTTTCAGTCGAGTTGTTTTTTGTTATCTCCCCTTGATTAACCTCTTCATTTATTTTGTAGATTACTAATGCTGCATGACACGATATAGATTGTTATATACACTCAATCGTTAGACTTTAATACTGTTACACAAGCATAGCTTGTGTCAATATTAGCTGAAATTTCTTACATTTAATAGTTAATCTAATGAGTCAATATCTTTGGAAGAATTATTAGTTCCAAAATATAATCTTTTTGAGTGTATATAAAATCTTTATATTTTGGGTTCATTTAATCCACTTGACTATATAACAAATGGCCATTGACAGTTTGAAAAATGTTTTCTCATCAGTTGAGTAAAGTATTGATCCTGTAGACTGTGTGGAAAATGTGTATTGGATTTATGTTTTGGTTTGAAAAACACTTTATCTAGAATTAACAAACAAGTTCCAAGCATTATGTTGTGTAAAAATATTATTAAGATAATGTTTTTGGCACAGAATGATTTTGTTTGTGCAAACTATTTTTCCACCTGAAAATGGCCATTTGTGTAAGAATCATTTACTAATGATCAGTTTGATCCAATATTTATTTCTATAGCCATGGAATACAAGTGAATACATACGGTCAATATGTAGTGTAGTCACTATTTTTTGCCAACAAACTAGGGCTGGGACGAGTCCGAAATTTACTACCCGGGTACCCACCCCCCAATTACCAGACCCTACCCGGGTACCCACCCCATTATTACATGACCCTACCCGTGTACCCTGCCCCCTATTACCTGACCCTACCCGTGTACCCACCCCCCAATTACCAGACCCTACCCGGGTACCCACCCCCCTATTACCTGACCCTACTCAGGTACCCACCCCCCTATTACCTGACCCTACCCGTGTACCCACCCCCCTATTACCTGACCCTACTTGGGTACCCACCCCCCTATTACCTGACCCTACTCGGGTACCCATCCCCCTATTACCAGACCCTACTCGGGTACCCACCCCCCTATTACCTGACCCTACCCGTGTACCCACCCCCCTATTACCTGACCCTACTCGGGTACCCACCCACCTATTACCTGACCCTACCTGTGTACCCATCCCCCTATTACCTGACCCTACTCGGGTACCCACCCCCCTATTACCTGACCCTACTCGGGTACCTGCTGTAGGTCTCAAGACAAAATGGTACAAAATGTCTGATTTGGAATAGTTTTACTGTAGCCCTGGCAGAATGTATTTAGATACACGTATAAAACGATTTGGTCATGCATACACTGAAGTTGACTGAAGTTTTATCTTTATTCAAATATATAAACGTCTGGGTGCATAGTCAGAAAGAAATCCTAACATTAGTGATTGTGGGGTAACGATATAGTTCAAGATAATTTTTCCATTAAACAATATATCACATGACCAACCACGGGTCCAGGTAGTTTTGTGGGTTCCCGGGTCCTTCTCAGGACCCACCCGACCCGAGTACCCAAGTTTCCCGTCCCAGCCTTACAACAAACCAGAGAGTGCTAAGACCAATGAATCCTCAGAAAAGATCACAAAAATGGCAATGAATCTCATGCAACATGTGCTATAGCCTTGCATTATTCTGCTCTACCTCTGCCTCAATATGGGGCAATGGTAGAGTTCATGGAATGTTCATACCCAGAGGATTATCATTTGACACCAGTAAGTTATGAATGGCCCTATTTCATCAGTTGACTAAAACTGACCCACGTCAGCACCACACCGCAAAGTGACCGTATGTATTCACGGGTGATGGAGAGATGTAGTGCATGCACAACCTGCGCAGTATTGACAATGTAATCAAGGATGCTGATAGATGTTGTTTAGTTACCTCCCTTGTGACACTCTCCTGTTGGAGAAGGTTAATATTTTCTCTGATGATTTGATCATCATTGAGTGTTGAGTCTTGAAATAACTTGTTTCCTGAACAGACATCAAACTATTTGAACAGAGATTTGCTGTGTAACAACTTCCTAACCATTCCGGTTTACTTCTGAGTAATATTTGCCTGATCCAGGCCAAACTCATTAGATTGCAGTTTAAACTAGTTCAGGCAGGAAATTTGCAGCTTGGTCTGGAGTAATGTTGGTCATCTCTTGCACAGGCTGGCTAGAACCACTTCTTGATAGAATTGCTGCCGACAAGCGTCATGTTGTTTGCCCAGTAATAGACAACATACACGATGACACATTGGCGTTGCAATGGTTTCCAGCCAATCAGGTCCAAGTATGCAAATTTGACTGGACCTTGACATTTAATTGGATGATGCCCCCCAGTTATATCACCAAAGGCAGGAAGTCCGACATTGACCCCTTGTGGCAAGTTGCTCCAATTCTGTTGACCTTTGACCTTTGTTCACTTTGACCTTGACCTCTGTATTCAATTAAAATATACATTGGAAATAATAGTTTTATGTTTGAAATGCAGACACGAATAACAGAATATGGAAAACGTAAAAAATGATTTTGAAAATATTCCAATAAGGAAATGGAAATATTAAATTTATAGTCATTTTGATTGGATCTGCATCGGCATTCCTTAAGATGACCTGCATATATTCAATGACAAGAAATGTATATTTTAAGACGAGTTTCTTCAAGACATGTTCTTCCTATCGAGCGATGTCCAAGCTCTTCCTTGTGTGTCAAGAAGTATTTCTGCTTTGCTTTTAGAAATTATGGTCCTCGGTGGAAGGGGGCAACTTGGCCCTCACTCACTGAGACACTCACCCGAACACACCCTTCAGCTACACCTCATGTTGTAGCCAGGTGGTAATACGAACACGGATCCTCTCATCACATCATTTCACATATATACTTTAGGGCAAACGGAACTGATCTTTGTTATCATATCGTAATTTCTTAGTTTCACTTTAGTCTCCGATTTTAGGGACTAGTCCAAAGCATGGGGGGGAAGAATGGCCCATTCGTCTAAGGTTCCGCGATTTGCTGTGCAGAGTTGTGTCCCTTGGGCATGCCAGAAACCTATGATTGTGGGTTCGAATCTCGGTTCGCCCCGATTATGTTTCTAGGTTTGTCAGCACCATACCTGTGCTCGTGGGTTTCACCAAAGTGGTAATGGTCTGAGACCTGCATCACTTGGGACTTTCCTCCCACATTAAGCTGACATGCCTTGATATAACTGGAATACTGTTAAAAGCGGCGTTAAACCCACTCACACCCTCACTCCAAAGCACGAATCCAGAAAATGTCTGTTCCATCTAGTAAGCTCAGCTGATAAAATTATTCATCTCAGTTACACTAAAGTCTACATAGAATAATGCTAAGAGTCAAGTCTGGATTTGTAGACTCAAAAGTGTTTTGCGCAGACTGACAAGAGTAAAGACTCCTCGAATATTGGATCTTAATGGGGATTTTAATTTGACTATTTTAAATTAAATTCAAAATTCAAATTCTGCTACCAATTGTTGTGTACTAGACATACATTCTAAGGGATATTATTTAGGTTTTGGCAAGACAGACTAGCTCTTTTCACAGCCGGCTACAATATGAAACAATACCTATCACTGGTTATAACAGAGCATGAAGTATTCTAGTTCTTTATCACTGTTGCATGTTTTGAAAGTGCCAGCTGAAAAATATTACGGAATTTATTTTGAGAATTTTTTAATTTTGAGTGACTCTACAAAAGTATAACAAGTAGGTCAAAACTAAAGTGTGCATTTATGCGCAGTCATGTTTCACATATTTCATTCAATAATTTGGAAATTCAATAGAAACACAGAATTTACAATTTTCAGGTTTTAGAGGCATCTACTATACTGGCAGCAGTGCACTTTACAAAAAATAATGACGATTTTCTTTCAATGCATTGCATTCAAGTTTTTGCTTTCTATTCCTGCAGTTGTAACATAATTTTGTTTGTTTATTTATCAGTATTTCCAAATTTCTTCCAGGTTTCTAAAACTGCACAATGAGGACTGCTCTTTCTTAATTTTATTTTATATTTTATTTCCCCTTTATGTTTTGCCCTGAACCTTAAACGAGTTAAGTTTGCTATCTTGCTATCTCAGCCCTTCACTGTCTATCTACAGGCTGGTTAGAACCGCTAATCGCCAGAATTGCCGAAGATCCACATAACGTGGTGTGCCCCGTCATCGACAACATAAACGATGATAATTTCAGTTATTTCTGGTTTGAAGAAAGTCAAATTCATGTTGGCAAATTTGATTGGACGCTAACCTTCAACTGGATGCCTGCCCCCAAATATATGCTCGCTAATAGGACCAGCAATGTGTCACCGATTAGGTTAGTCTATCCCATTGTGGGTATAGGGCCTGCAGTGCGTTCGTTTCATTCGCCAGTGGCTGGGATAGGTGACCTTTACCTTGCTTTGACCTTCTGACCTTTGTTTGACCTTTGTTTCACCTCTACCACCGGGTTTTGCTCCTGCAATTCAAATGTTCTCTTCATACTTTTCCAAGGATTTCGTTTTGAAAATTCGAGTTGAATTGACTCCAAAAGTGTTGGGGGGGGGGTGGGCACGGCTAGCCCAGTCGTCTTAGGCGCCGCGATTCGCTGTTCAGAGTTGCGTCCCTGAACGTCCAGAAACCTATGATTGTGGGTTCGAATTCCGCTTCGCCCCTATTATGTTTCTAGGTTTGTCAGCACCATACCCGTGCTCGTGGGTTTTGACGAAGTGGTAAATGTCTGAGACCTGCATCACTTCAGGCTTTCCTCCCACATTAAGCTGACACGCCGTGATATAACTGGAATATTGTTAAAAGCGGCGTTGCGACCCAACTCACTCACTCACTCACAAAAGTGTTTGCAATCATAAGATAGATTTAATGGTTTGGTAGCATTTGGCCATAAATACTGATACAATGGTAAGCTTCACAAAGACAATAGTTGACTACAATTTGAATAAACGAACGAGGTAGTTACCCATGATATTATTACATTGATGAAAAAAAGGTGATTTAAGAAAACAATAGTCCTATTGAAAAGCTACTAGTCTCGAACCTCTGGTCAAGTTTTTCTCTTCACTGACAAAACAGATTTGTTTTCCACAATTTGCAAAACCCTGTTGCTATAAAAGTGTGCTGTGCCTACGGTGGAGGTGTTTGAGGGGATGGGTATGGGAGAGAATGAACTTTCATCCTCAATTATCCTCTTGTGTCTCCATTGTGTTATTCTAGCAATAAATATCCTGACTCCATTCCCTCATCATAAGTTGATGTGATGTCACTATCTACATCCCTCCTATCACAAACTTAGCACAAAATGTCTCTCGCTGATGGGGATTAATTGATTGGATGGCTATTTTTAGCATCATGCCTTTAGAATTTGGTGGCGAATGGGTCAAGGGTATTTATCATAACAGAATGGAGATTTAATACCCTGGGTAAACAAGGATGAATGTTATAATGTAAAATTGACAATTTAGTGGTAGGTTAAGAATTATTCTTGAACAAATATATAGATTTAATGCACACATTAGAACATATCATTAATCAACATTTTAATAAATAATAACTGTCATCTGTGGTACTGTTTAAATGTTTTCTCTGTGATTCCTTGTGATGGATGAAATCTGATGAAATTTGCCATGCTTCTGTTTGTCCTTGAGTAGTTATAAAAAAGCAATATACTATATTTTGATGAATGTTTTGTTAATTACTTATTCATAATTGACTTTTAACTATTAAAATAAAAAGTAACTGGATCCTTTTCCTTATACGGTTGATTCTTGTTTAGAATTCTTACCCAGCCACCTGTGATTGTCGTACGTGTCGACAACTGGATCAGGTAGTCAGGTTCGGTGACTTGGTTGATTGTGTGTCATCGTACCCGGACGATGTGGATCGTTGTTCATAATACCAATCACTGGATTGTCTGGTCCAGACTCACATATTTACAGACTGCCATCATATACTGAAATATTGCAGAGTGTGGCGTAAACAATAAATGAAACAAATCAACAGAGTAATATTGAATTTTGGCATGTATAACGTTTCCCCCTGAATATTTGTGCATTTTTTTAAATCCTCCATCGATGTTGCAGGTCGCCGACTATGGCTGGAGGGTTGTTTGCAATCAGCCGGGAGTATTTCGAGCATCTTGGCACATATGATCCTGGCATGGATATATGGGGTGGCGAGAACTTAGAGCTGTCATTCAGAGTACGTATACAAGTAGTGTTCCTCAAGTAGTGTTCCTCTGTCATTCAGAGTATGTATACAAGTAGTGTTCCTCTGTCATTCAGAGTATGTATACAAGTAGTGTTCCTCAGTCAGATCAGAGTACGTATACAAGTAGTGTTCCTCAGTCAGATCAGAGTACGTATACAAGTAGTGTTCCTCTGTCAGATCAGAGTACGTATACAAGTAGTGTTCCTCTGTCAGATCAGAGTACGTAAACAAGTAGTGTTCCTCTGTCAGATCAGAGTACGTATACAAGTAGTGTTCCTCAAGTAGTGTTCCTCAGTCAGATCAGAGTACGTATACAAGTAGTGTTCCTCTGTCAGATCAGAGTACGTAAACAAGTAGTGTTCCTCAGTCAGATCAGAGTACGTATACAAGTAGTGTTCCTCAGTCAGATCAGAGTACGTATACAAGTAGTGTTCCTCAAGTAGTGTTCCTCAGTCAGATCAGAGTACGTATACAAGTAGTGTTCCTCTGTCAGATCAGAGTACGTAAACAAGTAGTGTTCCTCAGTCAGATCAGAGTACGTATACAAGTAGTGTTCCTCAGTCAGATCAGAGTACGTATACAAGTAGTGTTCCACAGTCAGATCAGAGTACGTATACAAGTAGTGTTCCTCAGTCAGATCAGAGTATGTATACAAGTAGTGTTCCTCTGTCAGATCAGAGTATGTATACAAGTAGTGTTCCTCTGTCAGATCAGAGTATGTATACAAGTAGTGTTCCTCAGTCAGATCAGAGTATGTATACAAGTAGTGTTCCTCTGTCAGATCAGAGTATGTATACAAGTAGTGTTCCTCAGTCAGATCAGAGTATGTATACAAGTAGTGTTCCTCTGTCAGATCAGAGTATGTATACAAGTAGTGTTCCTCTGTCAGATCCGAGTATGTATACAAGTATTGTTCCTCTGTCAGATCAGAGTACGTATACAAGTAGTGTTCCTCAGTCAGATCAGAGTACGTATACAAGTAGTGTTCTTCTGTCAGATCAGAGTAGGTATACAAGTAGTGTTCCTCTGTCAGATCAGAGTACGTATACAAGTAGTGTTCCTCTGTCAGATCAGAGTATGTATACAAGTAGTGTTCCTCAGTCAGATCAGAGTACACATACAAGTAGTGTTCCTCAGTCAGATCAGAGTACGTATACAAGTAGTGTTCCTCTGTCAGATCAGAGTACGTATACAAGTAGTGTTGCTCAGTCAGATAAGAGTACGTATACAAGTAGTGTTCCTCAGTCAGATCAGAGTATGTATACAAGTAGTGTTCCTCTGTCAGATCAGAGTACGTATACAAGTAGTGTTCCTCAGTCAGATCAGAGTATGTATACAAGTAGTGTTCCTCAGTCAGATCAGAGTACGTATACAAGTAGTGTTCCTCAGTCAGATCAGAGTATGTATACAAGTAGTGTTCCTCAGTCAGATCAGAGTACGTATACAAGTAGTGTTCCTCAGTCAGATCAGAGTATGTATACAAGCAGTGTTCCTCTGTCAGATCAGAGTACGTATACAAGTAGTGTTCCTCAGTCAGATCAGAGAACGTATACAAGTAGTGTTCCTCAGACAGATCAGAGAACGTATACAAGTAGTGTTCCTCTGTCAGATCAGAGTACGTATACAAGTAGTGTTCCTCAGTCAGATCAGAGTATGTATACAAGTAGTGTTCCTCATTTAGATCAGAGTACGTATACAAGTACACCTTTTTGTCAATTTTCTAAGCACCCCTGGGGCCCTTGTTATAGCGAATATGGTATCAATGATAACATCGTGTCACTGAAAAACTTGAGTTTATTAAAAATGTTAGCAAATTTTGGGAGCCATGCTTTACTGCACGCTATAACCGAGTTAGCGGAATATTGAACAGCGCAATAGCGAGGGAACACTTAAAAGGATGTTGTATTAGGATGGTGATGATGATAAAGGTGATGATGTTAATGATGATTTTGAATAGTGTGTACTACGCTTACAAATTAAAATCTGTTATGATTGTGTGAAAATATTCTATTTTGTAAATGGAGGAAATCTTCATTCTTGTATACATTTCACACAGATAGGTCCTGAACATGTTAATCAATTTGAGATGACTAGATGGTCTGTGTTAAGACATGTCCTTGGAAATTGAACCAAAATGAAAACTCAGCTCTAACTCGAAATCAGAAAAGATGTGTTTTGTGCTCCTCATTTCCATCTCTAAACACCTAGAATAAGATTCAAACCCGTACAACGCCATTGTTGTGTTTGATTATCTCATGCCTAAATACCCAGAACGACTTCATTTTGTGTGTGTGGCTATTCTGCCAAATATTACAAACAATCAAATATGCATTTTTAAAGTGTCTACTTGCTAATTTTCAACTGCTTGTGTTCCAGATCTGGATGTGTGGCGGTTCCCTGGAGATCATACCTTGCTCTCACGTCGGACATATATTCCGGAAACGGAGTCCGTACAAATGGAAGACGGGTGTCAACGTCGTGAAGAAGAACTCTGTCAGATTGGCAGAAGTGTGGATGGATGAATATAAAAATTATTATTACGAAAGATTTAATTTTGATTTGGTGAGTAAAAAATGTTCGAATGTTTATAATTTATTGACATTAATGGGGACATTGCTTTTGTGTTTATTGTTTTACATCATGTCATTGATTCCGAGACCCATGAAGATCTGGGGTAGAATGGGTCTGCAGCAACCCATGCTTGCTGTAACTATAGACCTGTGAAGATCCGGGTAGAATGGGTCTGCAGCAACCCATGCTTGCTGTAACTATGGACCTGTGAAGATCCGGGGTAAAAAAGGTCTTCTGCAAACCCATGCTTGCTGTAACTATGGACCTGTGAAGATCCGGGGTAGAATAGGTCTTCTGCAACCCATGCTTGCTGTAAACTATAGACCTGTGAAGATCCGGGGTAGAATAGGTCTTCAGCAACCCATGCTTGCCGTAAAAGGCGACTATGCTTGTCGTAAGAGGCGACTAACGGGATCGGGTGGTCAGGCTCGCTGACTTGGTTGATGCTTGTCATTGATCCCAATTGCGTGGATAGATGCTCAAGACATCACTCACTGGATTGTCTGGTCCAGACTCGATTATTTATAGACCACTGTCATATAGCTGAAATGTTGCTGAGTGCAGCGTTAAACAACAAACAAACAACAAGCATTGATTCAGAGAGAATAGATCCCCCAGTTCGATATGTGCTTATAAGAAACAACTCACAATAACACAATAACATGTGCACAGGGAATATCAAATTTGACAAAGGGGCGATTACAACCATACACATCAGTTAAGTTTGTTGTCAGAGATCGAGTAGTAAAAACATACTTATTTCAAATGTCAATAAAACTTAACATGCTTATTGGGGCATGGTGCTTAATACAACAAATATGATAATAATAGCAGTTAGGAATAGATGATTACAATTTCTCACCTGGCTGATTGGATGTCAGTGGGCCAGTACGGCATGGAATGATGCTCATGATGTCAATCACTGGTTTGTCTGGTCAAGGCTTATTATGTGCAGCCTGCTGTGATATCGCTGGAACATTGCTGACAGCGGCATAAAATAACATTCAACTGCTCTGGTATAAATATAAGTATGACCATGCTGAATATAAATTTGAAAGTTGTGTTTGAACAAATTTTGCAGTGATTGTTTATACATTTTAGGAATATTGGAACTGCAGATATCTTGATCTATAATTATGTATCGGGCTCTACATTATCCTCATCCATGTTTCAGGGAGATTTTGGTGATGTCACAGAAAGGAGAGCTTTAAGGAAAAGGCTGAACTGTAAAAGTTTTGATTGGTTCGTGAAAAATATCTACCCGGATCTATTTGTTCCGGGTGAAGCTGTGGCTTCAGGGGAGGTAAGTCTGTCAGCCTTCACAGGCCGTATGTTATCCATATTGTTCCGAATCTATACAGAGTAATGTGCACATAGGTTTTTGTGCTACTTGTATTTGTACAATATGCACACTCCACAACTCCATAAATAAATAATCACGTGAAGATTCTGAGTAGAATAGGTCTTCAGCAACCCATGCTTGCCGAAAAAGGCAACTATGCTTGTTGTAAAAGGCTACCTACGGGATCGGGTGGTCAGGCTCGCTGACTTGGTTTGATCCTAATTGCTTGGATCGATGCTCATGATATCAATAACTGGATTGTCTGGTCCAGACTCAATTATTAACAGACCGCTGTCATATAGCTGGAATATTGCTGAGTGCGGCGTTAAACAACAAACCAACCATAAATGAAAAAACAATTGAAGTCAATTCTGAAGTACACTATCGTATTTTGAAACGTTTGCAACAACTGCCTCAAATGCTTTCCTCAAGTTCCCCATAGTTGGTAAGACGTAAACAATATGCAGTATTTTTTGTGCTGTTTGTCTGATTGCTGACGTGTGTGTGTGTGTGTTCAGGTGAGGAGTAAGGCCAAGCCGATGTGTATTGACAGCCCCGTGGACCACCACAACTACCACAAGGCCGTCAACATGTGGCCCTGTCACAACCAGGGTGGCAACCAGGTCAGTACGAGCAGGGTATTGCCATAAACCATTGAACAAACCCCTACCTTGAATAATGACTTGTCTTGATTAATTACCTGCTTTGAATAATTACCTACCTTGAATAATTACCTGTCTTAGTAATTATCTGCTTTAAATAATTACCTACCTTGGATAATTACCTGTCAGCAATAACCTGCTTTGAAAAATTACCTACCTTGAATAATTACCTGTCTTGAGTAATTACCTGCTTTGAAAAATTACCTACCTTGAATAATTACCTGTCTTAGTAATTACCTGCTTTGAAAAATTACCTACCTTGAGTAATTACCTGTCTTGGGTAATTAGCTGCCTTGAGTAATTAACTGCCTTCAATTAACCTGTACCTAGAATAATGTAAATAACAATAAATAAATCCTTGCCATGAATTAACCCCTACCTTGAGTGAACCTTTGCCATGAATAGATGATTGCAAAGAAGTAACCCTTACTTTAAATTAACCCCAACTTTGTGTTAACCTCTATCTTGAATAAACCCCTGTCTTGAATAAACCCCTAACTTGAATGAACCCCAACGGGCACAATGAAAGAGGTAAACACCTCAAACATTTGATGGAAAATCAATTAAATAAAAAGAGAGATATATCATGTTGCAAATGCCTCTCTGATAAAATTAAACTCTGGCCTCAAGTAGACAGTGGCTCTAGAAAGCTTCTGAAACAGACCCCACATACTTATTCAAGGATTACCGTATTCGACGTAATAAGCGTCCCGCTGTAATAAGCGCCCACTGTGATATTTGCTAATATATTGGCCAGTGATCAATCCCAATTAGCACCCCTTCCGATTGATCACAAGACTTATTTATTCGTGTATAATATGCACTCGTGTTTTATATGCACCCTTAATAATGGGCAACTAAATTCTGGAAAAATGTATCTGTCGTATATAAACAGTTCAGACCGTCAGCATAAACCACAAAATTTATCTTTCAACTCTGTTTTTTTCCACCAAAATAATATTCTAATAAGAGCCCCCTATTTCTAATTTTGAGAGCGCCCTGGGCGCTTATTACATTGAATACGGTAACAGTATTTGAAAATCAAGTCAGCCGAAGGGCTAGCAGGTTATCTGAAGCAGTCAATGATATGAGATAATGTGTGTTCCAGTACTGGATGATGAGTAAGGGAGGCGAGGTACGACGTGACGACGGCTGCTTGGACTACTCCGGCGGCGATGACGTCATCATCTACCCGTGCCACGGCCAGAAGGGCAACCAGGAGTGGCAGTATAAAGAGGTGAGCACAATGTACATGGTAGAGTCAGTCAGTCAGTCAGTCAGTCAGTCAGTCAGTCAGTCAGTCAGTCAGTCAGTCAGTCAGTCAGTCAGTCAGTCAGTCAGTCAGTCAGTCAGTCAGTCAGTGGCTGGGTGAGTGAGTGAGTGAGTGAGTGAGAGGTTTTACCACATGATAGATCTGGAATATTGACACTTGTAAGGCTGAAGCAGAGACCAAGAGATTGAAGCCAGGAGATTTCTCCTTAAACATTTTACCATACAAAAAAAAAATGGAAAATAATATTTAAGTACTCCTCGAACATAATCAACTTCCATTACCTTTGAAATGCAGGTATTCATTGTCATTCCTTCAAATGCTGCTGTTAGAATAGGTCTTCAGCAACCCATGCTTGTCGTAAGCGGCGACTAAGGGGATTGGGTGGTCAGGCTTGCTGACTTGGTTGATGCATGTCATCGTATCCAAATTGGGGAATCACTGGATTGTCTGGTCCAAACTTGATTATTTACAGACCGCTGTCAGATAGCTATGATAATGTTGAGTGCAGCTTTAAACAACAAACAAAACAACATCCTTCAAATGCTTTGATTATTTTACAGGACAACACAATTCTACACGTGAACACACAGAAATGTGCCGAGGTGTCGATAGACGGCAAGAAGCTACAGATGCGGCCATGTTCTGGCATTGACAGACAACTCTGGCAGTGGAAAAGAAAAGCACCAACAGGAATTATACGTGACAAACCCTAGTTCACCATCTGAAGTCATGTATCCTCGGTCACTATGCAATTAATTTATCTTATCTCGCCTGTGATTGGTCAGAACTTTCAAGCTGACTTCCTCACCTCATCGCTGAACAGGAGCAGATAACTCTGCCTAATGTGCATTTCCGAACATCATGAAGAATAGTCCGAATGTTTAACAGTATGGATACCCATTTATAACCTAACATGGATATATATGTATATCGGTGACTGGTTGGTATAATTAGTGTGATTGGATGACGACCTGTGGCCAATGAGAGGACTTGGAAGAGGACAAAATGTTTGTAAAACATTTGTATAAAAATATTAAGACGAATACTAATGGAACTGTCTATTGTATGGAATCTGGAAATCCTGACAAAAAGTAGCTACGCATGGGCAAAGTTTGATACGATGAGTGTTTACACATTGACCTTCACGTATGGTACGTGACCTTAAAGTGTAATGACTTTGAAGGCATATCCAAGAATTGTTGGTGCAACTTTCAAGTATTTGACCTTGACCTTACAATCTTCATGGCCTTGTAGGTCATGACCTAGTTGTTGGTGTGACCTTGACCTTTGACCTCGTTCACGATGGGCTTCTAGAAAGTGATTCACTGATCTCCTTTTCAGACTTGACATGCCACTGCTGAATCTTTCATCCCGAGAAGATGACTGTTACATTATTGATTCTGTCATGGAGATCACACTGACTTAAGGAAGTGGCTGAATTTCTCAAATAGCCTTTGTTTTACTAACACATTGGTATGACACTGCATTCCATGTTGTTTGAGATCCGCGTGAACATATTCTTGGTTTATAATCAAGATAAGTCATTCACAATTCTACATAACCAGACTTCGTATGTATTGACTGTTTGCTTTGGGGTATCCAATGATATTTTTTTCATCATAACCACATTCCAGTCAGCTGAAGAAAGGAATGCTTCATATGTACATGTAAAAATATATATAAAAAATAATTTTGAGGGAGGGGTAAATTCTATCCTATCCTATCCTATTTCAGTGGGAAAAGTAAGCGGTGACACATAACAATACTTCAGTCCATGGTTGGGGCTACTGCTCCTCAGCTACAGACCCAGAACATGGATGTCTTATCATCAAATATTATATTTGATGGCACATGTCCTTGTTTGAGCATCTGCTACCTATTTTTCTATGTACATTATCATAAATATGTGGGATAAAAGTATTTTACGGTTTTTCTAGATTCGATTTAAAATATTTCCCTTTTTCATGTTTGAATGCTTCAGCAACTTGGGGAGTTTTTGTCATGTGAAAATGTTTTATATATGACCTGTTCTTTTAAGGTGAAGGATAAGTGTATCTGATTTAGATATTGTTCTGTGCATTGAGGAACATCCATTGCAGTATGTGAAGTCATTAAGTTACGACATTTTCAAAATCATGCTTACAGGGTGATATTTTGCATATTGATGACTGTCAATATGGTTTTTGAACATGCTGACAAGATATTATTTTTTTTATCATTTTTTTATCATATTTTTTTCAATAAGTGCATCATGTCTCACTAACCATTGCCCTCTGTGGGGATTCTGGGTTAGAATTGGTCCCAACCGATGCCAGTCATATGAGGATCGGGTGATCTGCTTTTGCTGCAATGAAATAATGTCGAAAGTATAGGATTTCAGGCTAAAATTTGGCACATGAGGGTAGACTGAAGGAACCATTGCTATATTTCTGATTCTGGTTTGGACTAAATTGTTGACATGAAGTTGGTTCTGACTTCTGTGTATGCTGTGATAGTGCTCCCTTAAACACACTCATAAACAGGATAGAGCTCTGAGCTCATCCCTAACCCATCCCACACCCATCCGCGCCCACCCACGCCCAACCACATCCACACTTAATAATAAACAGAAAAAAGAGTACATCTCCAGGGGGTCATTGTAGGTGTTATGGGAAACAAAAAAAAGGAAAAACATGTAATGGCAGTTGGGAAAGCAGGCAACTTCTGCAAAACAATATGGCCGCACTACACACAGTGTGAAGAGTTGCCTCCCTTTGCTACCAGCGTGTATGCAACCATGACCCAGATCACAGTAGGCCTTGAAGACACATCGCGATATAACTGAATTATTGGTCATTCAATAAGATAATGGACTGGTCATATTACTTCATGACCATGCTGTTGCTTAGATTAACTTGAAAATATCACAAGTATTTCTATTCTAAAATGCCATTCCATGACGTCAAGTCGTGTATTTAGTTAAAAGCTCCAACTAAGCTTATTATGCATGCCATGCTTGATGTTTGTCTCTCCTATTTTAAAAACTGACTGGTCCTTGGGTTGACCATTTGATATATTGGTGGACTTGGGTTTTTAAAAAAAAACCTGTAATCTGTTCTCAAAATGTGAGAAAGAATTGGTCCTCTGGTCCCATATTGCTCAATGATTGAGCCCCAAATGAGGATACTCATCGATCATTCAGGACAGGCAGACCGGTATTGAATTGTGTAGTAGAGCTTGTAGATAGATGAGACAAGCTATTATTCACAGCCATTCACTCTCAAAATCATATTCTATGTTTATAAATTGTCATCTTAATACGAGAAAAAAAACTGGATAAGTAAGATACACTAAGATATGCACCTTATGACAGTATGCTTGAATTTTAGTGTATAAAATGCAAACATATATTTTCTTTTATACGAGATTGGACAAATAGACCTATGCTTTTTTTAGTCTACAAAATGTGTCGTTCGTTTTGGTGATATATATGCTCAATTGGGCACAGCGGCTGCTTTATCTAACCCCAAATGAGCATAAATATCAAAGTTTTGAAGTAATATGCACTCAAGTGCACTTACATACGACATAAATCGGCCAAAGTGGAATTATTTATTATTTGTGCATATCATATATATGTTGTAAATAGTATGTTATCATTCCCGCAATGGCTATATGGCGGCCTGGATTTCCCTATCAACTTACATTCCACGGGATAAAATTTGCTGGGAAATATGGACCCCCGGGACCAAATTGTTTTGTTAAATAAGGTTTATTCTGTTACTGGATCGTCGCTGTGTGCGGGTGTTGTTTTGTTTAGGCGATGTGTATGTTATTTATTGTACAATATTAGTGTTAACTTAATGACCCAGCTCTGCTTTATGCAACATGTTTTCTGACATAACAGTGACTTGAAGATTTACACACACATTCATTGCCCCAAACTTTGGCACATGAGCTTTTCAATCATATTGACTGGTCACGAATATTATGTATTTATTGAGTTTTTAAGGTACAATATATATTACTAGGTTCTCTATTTACGTAAAACTTGTATATATGTAATAACACCTGGTAAACAGTAAGCGCTGCTAATTATATATTTCCATATTGAATAATCACTTTATTTAATTGTATCCTGTATTGATATTCTGACGAAAATATTTGTTTCGGTTTACTAATTGACTCATATTGAAGCACAGAAACGGAATAATAATTTGCCTGTATAACTTACTGTAAAGTAAATGCATAAGGCTAAAAAATAATAGTCTTGGTTCTCAGGCACCGGATATTTTTGAAAAATATGAATGGATAACTTATAAATAATTTATTGTTGCCTGACCAATGGGATACTCGGGACAATAATACTACTAGGTGTTATAGCCAGATTGTCCTCTCATATTCTGTCGGCAGTATATTAATTGTCCAGTCATTTACTACACAGACTGTTTAACTAACCTTCAAAGGTGAGGGGGCACGGGTGGCCCAGTCGTCTAAGGCGCCGTAATTCTATGTGCAGAGTTGCGTCCCTTGGGCACGCCAGAAACCTGATTTTGGGTTAGAATCCCGGTTCGCCCCGATTATGTTTCTAGGTTTGTCAGCACCATACCCGTGCTTGTGGGTTTCACCAAAGTGGTAAACGTCTGAGAGCTGCATCACTTCTGGCTTTCCTCCCACATTAAGCTGACATGCTGTGATATAACTGGAATACTGTTAAAAGCGGCGTTAAACCCAACTTAATCACTCAGAGGTGTACAACTTTAAGTAGAATCCAGGTTACATGAAGTCCCCTGCAACCTATGCTATTCATAAGAGGCGTCCAAAGGTCATTCACTTGGTTGATTGTGTGTCATCGTACCGACAATGTGGATCGTTGTTCATAATATCAATCACTGGATTGTCTGGTCAGGCAGTCATCATGATACTGCTGTGTGTTGCGTTAAAAAAACCAAAAATGATTATTTCGTATGTCAGTATACAAAAATGCTTTGTTCTTTATTCTTCATGAATATGTAATGCTGGGTAAAATATATTATTTCAGTATTTTCACTTGTAATGGAACATTCACCAGATTCAGTCCTTTCTCATCCTGACTACAAACATCATCAAATCTACTTAGCAGGACCAAGGGTAAAATGATAATTTGCCTGTATAACTTACTGTAAAGTATATGCATAAGGCTAAAAAATAATAGTCTTGGTTCTCAGGCACCGCCTGCATCATAAACTCCACTGCACTTTTTGTGTTTATTTCCTTTTTTTTTAAAAAATCAATAAATATTCCAATTCCACTGGTAGTCAAATACAGTATTCAAGTTCTTTACTCGTCAAGGAATACATTTATGTAGGGAGGTCCTTTCCCAGGTTCATTGTACACAATTGTTTATTTGGTTACATAAGTGCTTATTTGGTTACATACTAGTTTGAACACACACCCCCCCCCAAAACAAAAAAAACCAAAAGTGACCGCCCATCTGCACTATATTTTCGAAAACCTTTGCCTGAGAACCAATTCTAGTATTTTTTTAAGCCTAAAGTGTAACCTCGTTAATTGGGATGGTACCGTGACAAATAACGTTACCTTCAGTATGTATTCTAGTAATCATTTCCTACACGAAATCAGAAGTCTTGTCAGTTGCAGGGTTCTTACTATTGACATCTCACAGATTATTAACTTGGAGTGGTTTATTTTTGTATTGAGGGAGCATGGGTGGTGACAGAATTTCCTGCATCCCTTTGTCACGGGATCGAATCCCAAATTTGTACTGATTACACATTAGATCCTTGGTTTGTCAGCACCAAATCCCTGCTCGTAGCTGTCACCAGAGTGGCAAGTGTCCAAGGCAAGACCCACATCAAGCTGACACACCATGACATTACTGAAATATTGTCCAAAATGTGTGAAACCAAACGTGCTTATTTTTATTAATGTTCTTGATTCTTCTAAAAACTTGTAGTTCATCGCTAAGTACTTCTACAAGGGAGCTGTCTTATTTACCCACGATTTGCTACATTTTTACGCTTTAAAAAACATAATATATGCATTTTTAAAAATACTTTTTTGACCTTTAGCTCAAATACTTTATTTATTGTAAATACAGAATGCCATCTTGCAATGGCCTGATTAAGAATTTTGTGTAAGTTTTGAACAGGATACAGATCCCTTATTTTGATTTTATCTTTCACAAAATGTCAATGATGAACTGTTCATCATGAATAAATGAAACTGTCAAGTTGTTTTGCTCATGATTGCTACAGAAAGTACTATGTATTGCCTGTAGACAAGGGTATCCTTCCAGCAATGTTCCAAGTGTGTACAAGGAAACAGCATTCAATCTGTCATTTTAGGAAAGGTTTTTATGTAATCTTTGTAGATATTTTCTTCACTTTTGGATTAATTTACTGTAATATTGAACAAACACAGATTGTAACACTACATCAGGTCATTAATATATATTTATCATATATGGATAGTGTGGTGATGCGATAAGCCAATCTGCTAATCTTTATCATGATCCGTAAATATGCAAATGAGGTACCCGAGCAGGAACTTCTTTAAGCTCCTTACATCGATGCAATTTGCTTGCTCAAAGTTAAATAGGGGTTTTCCTGTGTGGAGTGATTCTGTTGAAAAGACTAGACCAAATCATCAGGCACTTTTTGACAAATGGACTGACTAACAAACATTTTATTCTTAGGTCTTTTCTAAAGTTTGAATGAAAATATGTCATAAATTTGATTATATTTAGTTGACATTAGATTGAGAAAGTGATTATAACCTCATGCGTTTTATTAACCGAATGTGTTTCCATATTGTAAATATAATATATTTGGAATAACAAAATATGTTGTAAGTTTGCCAATGGCTCGGCTGATATAGTTGTTATTCCAAACATGATATAGAAACGCACTTAGCTAGTAATCTCTATTAGGGGGCACGGGTGCCCCAGTCATCTAAGGCGCCGCGATCGCTGTGCAGAGTTGCGTCCCATGGGCACGCCAGAAACCTATGATTGTGTGTTCGAATCCCGGTTCGCCCCGATTATGTTTCTAGGTTTGTCAGCACCATATCCGAGCTCGTGGGTTTCACCGAAGTGGTAAACGTCTGAAACCTGCATCACTTCGAGCTTTCCTCCCACATTAAGCTGACACGCCGCGATATGACTGGAATAATGTTAAAAGCGGCGTTAAACCCAACTCACACACTCACTAATCTCTATTACTGACACTACAACTTACACTATTTTATGTCCGATAATGAAATACGGAAAGAGCTGTCACTAGCTATGTGATAAAAGGTATACCTTAGTTTATTTTGAAATCCTGGAGATTGTTCAAATGTTTATCAAAAGCTTGTCATGTGCATATTTATTTAAGATATATTTTTGTATGAAATTATTGTAACTTGTAGGAAGAGACGACTCCCCTAATATTAAGAGCATTTTCAAGGGTCAGAATTTGAGTAGTTTTTGTAAAAATCGTGGATATGTCAATCATGGGTGATTTTCTTCGTGTGTATATAGGTACATTAGGCATGGCACCATTAAATGTTTAACTATTCAACATTCATTTCAGTGTCTTGATGAACTTAGCATTGATTTACTGTTGCATGTAAGAAAATATGATTGTCGTTATTTATATCTTAGAAATCATTTGCACTGAAAAAATGTGAAGAAAATGCTTTAAGGCAAATGTGAGCGATATATGCTGAAATGTTTGTAAATATGTACAGTGATTCGAATGAATGATAAATGATTGGTTCGATTTGAAATAAGCATGTTGGATGATGTAGGTCTGACACCATGAGTTGTCTCCCTTTAGTCTTTGTTTCCAGATAATGGTAGCAGCTGTACTGGGCAATCTTCCTACCAAAGTTGAAAAAACAAAACAATTTGGAAATGACGAAGCACATTGTTGCAATTGAATTATTTGATTATTTACTTTGGCCTATGACAAACAAAAACAATTCAGCGAAACTCATTGCTGAATATGCACCTGAAAAAAGGTTAAGCATCACCCATTCTTAATTTTCACATCTCAACGTCCTTGTATCTTTTTGGACATTAGACAACCTCCGTGGTGTGGAGGATGGAACACCTGCCTGGAGACAGTCAGTGGTTCGAACCCCGGCCACGTCATACCAAAAGACGTTAATAGATGGTACTTGTTGTTACCCTGCCTGGTGCTCGGCTTTGAGAGGTTGAAACAAGGATCTTTTGGTTCAAAGTCGGTATACATTGTCCTAGTGTGGTATCTCACACTCACACACAACTGCAATAATCTTGGAACATGTCAAAGCCCATTCACCTTTTGAAAATATCTCCATGTGACATTGATGTATGTGCTGATATGTAGAAGTTTCTTAAAATGGTCACAATATGTACTTAAAGGAAGTTAAAGAACACCCCAATTTTTTTTTTTATATGACTATAGTTAATTCATGGTAGAATATTTACATCGATCACATGATGCTGATGAAGCAAGTAAATGTGTCGTCTGCTATGGAACAGTTACAATACACATTAGATAATCAATTTCAGTTTCTATATTTAAGTAATAGTACACCGTGTAAACAAACATGTTTTCTAAGAAAAATTAACAGTTTATGTTTTTAAAAAATATGCTACTTTATGGTGCGTAACCTTATTTCAGGTGTATATAATGAAAACATTCCATGCCAATGACTTGAGTAAATCTGGACAATTCTGTTCAGTGAAAATGTCCGGATTAATGGGATTTCACTGGATGTATGTAGTCATGGCGTCCTTGGCGGTTAGTGCAGTGTCCTCTGAACCAGCTGATGTAGTTTTGAAATGGTGCCAGTATATTTGAGAAAGCTAGTGTGTGTTTGAGGCCATTGTGCTCCATGTAAAGAACTGAAGAGAGACAATTCAGAGAGTATTTTGTATCATAGTATTATCAACTTGGAATCACAAATCACTGTTGAGGGATATATTCAACAGGGAAAAAAATCAAGTGCCTTTAAAATAAATGTGATTTTGATACATTGAATGTTGTGTTGTCTGTGTTGATGAGGACAAGGGCATCTGGGATAAACACTATACTGTGGGATGTAGGTTCACAACCTAGTGTTGAACGGGTCGCCAGGTCATCGTGCTTGTCTCCCTGTGAGGATGCTGGCTCAGAATGGATCCCTGCGGCATCGTGCTTGTCTCCCTGTGAGGATGCTGGCTCAGAATGGGTCCCCGGGGCGTCGTGCTTGTCTCCCTGTGAGGATGCTGTCTCAGAATGGATCCCCGCGGCATCGTGCTTGTCTCCCTGTAAGGATGCTGGCTCAGAATGGGTCTCGGGTCATCGTGCTTGTCTCCCTGTGAGGATGCTGGCTCAGAATGGGTCCCGAGTCATCGTGCTTGTCTCCCTGTGAGGATGCTGGCTCAGAATGGGTCCCTGGGGCGTCATGCTTGTCTCCCTGTGAGGATGCTGGCTCAGAATGGGTCCCTGTGAGGATGCTGGCTCAGAATGGGTCCCGAGTCATCGTGCTTGTCTCCCTGTGAGGATGCTGGCTCAGAATGGGTCCCTGGGGCGTCGTGCTTGTCTCCCTGTGAGGATGCTGGCTCAGAATGGGTTCCCGGGTCATCATGCTTGTCTCCCTGTGAGGATGCCGGCTCAGAATGGGTTCCCGGGTCATCATGCTTGTCTCCCTGTGAGGATGCTGGCTCAGAATGGGTCCCTGGGGCGTCGTGCTTGTCTCCCTGTGAGGATGCTGGCTCAGAATGGGTTCCCGGGTCATCATGCTTGTCTCCCTGTGAGGATGCCGGCTCAGAATGGGTTCCCGGGTCATCATGCTTGTCTCCCTGTGAGGATGCTGGCTCAGAATGGGTCCCTGGGGCGTCGTGCTTGTCTCCCTGTGAGGATGCTGGCTCAGAATGGGTCCCTGTGAGGATGCTGGCTCAGAATGGGTCCCGAGTCATCGTGCTTGTCTCCCTGTGAGGATGCTGGCTCAGAATGGGTCCCTGGGGCGTCGTGCTTGTCTCCCTGTGAGGATGCTGGCTCAGAATGGGTTCCCGGGTCATCATGCTTGTCTCCCTGTGAGGATGCCGGCTCAGAATGGGTTCCCGGGTCATCATGCTTGTCTCCCTGTGAGGATGCTGGCTCAGAATGGGTCCCTGGGGCGTCGTGCTTGTCTCCCTGTGAGGATGCTGTCTCAGAATGGGTTCCCGGGTCATCGTGCTTGTCTCCCTGTAAGGATGCTGGCTCAGAATGGGTTCCCGGGTCATCATGCTTGTCTCCCTGTGAGGATGCTGGCTCAGAATGGGTCCCCGGGGCGTCGTGCTTGTCTCCCTGTGAGGATGCTGGCACAGAATGGGTCCCGGGTCATCGTGCTTGTCCCCCTGTGAGGAGCCTGGCTCAGAATGGGTCCCGGGTCATCGTGCTTGTCTCCCTGTGAGGATGCTGTCTCAGAATGGGTCCCGGGTCATCATGCTTGTCTCCCTGTGAGGATGCTGTCTCAGAATGGGTTCCCGGGTCATCATGCTTGTCTCCCTGTGAGGATGCTGTCTCAGAATGGGTTCCCGGGTCATCATGCTTGTCTCCCTGTGAGGATGCTGTCTCAGAATGGGTTCCCGGGTCATCGTGCTTGTCTCCCTGTAAGGATGCTGGCTCAGAATGGGTTCCCGGGTCATCATGCTTGTCTCCCTGTGAGGATGCTGGCTCAGAATGGGTCCCCGGGGCGTCGTGCTTGTCTCCCTGTGAGGATGCTGGCACAGAATGGGTCCCGGGTCATCGTGCTTGTCCCCCTGTGAGGAGCCTGGCTCAGAATGGGTCCCGGGTCATCGTGCTTGTCTCCCTGTGAGGATGCTGGCTCAGAATGGGTCCCGGGTCATCGTTCTCGTCTCCCTGTAAGGATGCTGGCTCAGAATGGGTCCCGGGTCATCGTGCTTGTCTCCCTGTGAGGAGCCTGGCTCAGAATGGGTCCCGGGTCCCGGGTCATCGTGCTTGTCTCCCTGTGAGGAGCCTGGCTCAGAATGGGTCCCGGGTCATCGTGCTTGTCCCCCTGTGAGGATGCTGGCTCAGAATGGGTCCCCATGACCTCATGCTCGTCTCCTTGTGGGGATGCTGGTGCAGGACCTCACAGTTGTCATAAATGTTGACAGAAATTGTGGTTGATGCAGACTTGGTTAAGCATGTGTTGTACCCTGAGGATAGTTGCTCAACTATTTTATGCCCAGCACATGTTTACTTCCTGCTAAATGACTTGGGCAGTCTGGGTGCTTAATAACATAAATATAACAATGTGTATAAAAAGTCTCTTTAATAAAAGTCAGCATACAGTGTTTTTTTCAAGGCTAGGCAGACATGGTGAATTGAATAGATCCACTAAGGCCAAAAACAACTATGTATGTTTCTTACTTCAGACCATCAAAAAAAAAAAGGGAAACCGGGCCAGGTATTTTTTTAAAAATATTTCAACCTTTTCTTCTTTGAAAATTGTAATATAGTATTTGACGTAATAAGCGCCCAGGGCAATCTCAAAATTAGAAATAGGGGCTCTTATTAGAATATTATTTTGGTGATTTGAAAGATCGTAAATTTCAAGGTTTATGCTGACAGCCTGAAATATTTATATACGACAGATATATTTTTCCAGAATTTAATTGCCCATAATTAAGGGTGCATATAACACACACGTGTGTACTATACACGAATAAATAAGTTTTGTGTACATTGATGAATCGGAAGGGGTGCTAATTGGGATTGTTCACTGGCCAATATAATAGCAAATATCACTGTGGGCCCTTATTAGAGGGGGGCGCTTATTATGTCGAATACGGTATGTCAGTAAATGCCTGTTTTCAAATGAAGAGAATGACTGGTTTGTTTGTAATGAAGCTAAAAAAATTAAAGCTTGTGGAATAAAATATGGACATTACCAGGATGGGAATGAAAGCTGTGGTGCAGCTTGGAAAAAAAAAAAGGAAAACGGTTTAGGGTTGGGACCTCCAGATTAGAGAGGGTCGTGGAAAACAGAAACACACAGTTTATTTTTGGCCTAACATTTAAAAATATTTAATTGTTAATCTTTAAGGATTACAAACATAAGAAAAAAACATGACTTCTTTTCTGTAACAATGTCTGTCAATATTGCCATATGAACAATAATGAGAAAACAGGATTAAAACCAGGTGCTTTACAGACCAATCTCTGTAACCATAGTAACAAACTGTCTAAACTGCAGAAGAAACAGGAATCAGTAACAGGACGTTACAGACATACAACATCAAAATTGACAATGAAAATGAACAAGAAGAAAATAACTGCAGAAAGACGGGGGGGTCACAAAATCAACAGATACCGCAGCTGAAAGACAACAAGGAGCACAACCACCTCTTCTCCCATGGACGAGGGAATAGCACGCAAGTTCAGTAAAAAATGTGGTTTTGCAAATGGTCCACACTTCTGGGGCTTCTTAATCAAAACAACTGGGACATGCATTCATTAAACAGTACGCACATGCTTGAAAAGACCTTGAATTTTGAGGTCCGTCTTGAAAAGTCAGGATCAAGAAATGCCTGAATTTTCCTAGGCAAACCGATACTTAATTAAACTACCTAAAAATTATACATACCGATATCTTTTCAAAGTAAGAAAAAAAACTTTAAACATTTTTCAAGAAAACAATTTGTATCCCTAGAGTTATCTCCCTTCCAGGGATCATCTGCTCACCTTAGCGTTGACTTTGCCTGAATCTTTCACAAGTTGAATGGAAAAGCCAAAACATTTTATATGCAAATGGCCGTTGAGCTTTTGGGAGAGAGCCTTGAAAAGGCCTTGAATATTGCAACTGAAATTTACAAAATGATACTTGCCCTTGGTTTGCAGTTGAGGTATAGTGCAGTATATGACTTAATATCAAATATCAGTAGAAATGCAAGCACAAGAAACAAAAACTGAAAAACGCTTTGTGTTTGGGTGTTTGTGAAGCTATTGACCGTGAACTGTTCATGTGACTAAAGATGTTACAACATACCATGTATGTTTGTTTGTTGTTTAACGCCGCACTCAGCAATATTCCAGCTATATGACGGCAGTCTGTAAATAATCAAGTCTGGACCAGACAATCCACGGTTTGGCATCATGAGCATCGATCTACGCAATTGGGATACAATGACATGCTTCAACCAAGTCAGCGAGCCTGACCACCTGATCCAGTTAGTCGCCTCTTGCGACAAGCCCAGTCACCTTCTACAGCAAGCATGGGGTCCTGAAGACCTATTCTACCCTGGATCTTCTGTGGCACAACTCGGCACTGCAAAATTGCCACGCCTTAACGCTAATGGCCACTAATATCACGCGGGTCACACAAGAAATGGGCTTCAAAAATTGTGCCCAAGTGGGAATCAAACCCGGCCCTCAGTGTGAAGAGCAAATGCTTCAACCACTAGGCTACCAATAAAGAGGTTGTTATCTATGAATCATTTCATATTTGGTAATAATCATAAATGGTGGCAATAAGCATTATTGGGTACAAAATTCAGGGCAAAAAGATGAAATGTACACATGTACAAGAAGACAACATTCATTATTTGTTATTTTTAAGGTGTTTACATGTACCAATATATGTAGAATCTTGGGAGGTATGAACATTATAAACATTCCATCTCTATTAGGTACTTGATCTTACAAGAGAATTGGTAAAAATAGATTGGAAATACATTCTTAATAGCACAATGGACCATAATTTGTCCTTGGCCAGGTAAGAAAAACATAATCAAAAAACCTAAACAAACTTTGTCAGTGATACAGGTGAAAATGTTTAAAGTCTTTACTTTGGATACATTTGCAGCTATGGACATATCTGGTTTGACAAAAACATTTTTCTAAAAATAATTTGCAAATTAATATTGAGTGAGTGAATGAGTATGGATTTAAGCCGCTTTTAGCAATATATTCCAGCAATATTCCAGCAATATCACGGCGGGGGACACCAATATAGGCTTCACACATTGAAATTAATATTGTGAAAATGTAAAAAACAGCACATACACTTTTGTGCACAGAAAATCCTATCAAAAAATGGACTGCAAATTGAAAATATATAGCATTTAGGAATTAAGATTCTGGTACTAAAATCTTGTCTGAATAGCTGTGGACAAAGTGTACAAAACCTTTAGAAAGGAGTATCTATATGCAGGTATATGAAGCTGGTTATAGGATCACATCGTAGTTAAAGGTAACCATGGTAACTTATAACTACACTGGTAACCAGGCAACAGATTTCCTTGTCATTAATCTGATTGGCCAATTGGCCAAGCATTATCTATCCTTTAATTGCCAAGCAGTGTTATGTAGTACAAAGACCTTAAACATGCAATACACTCACACAGTGTCGTCTATACCAATACCACTCAACCTTTGATAGAGACACTTTTTTAAAGTGGGGTGGAGTGTACAGTTTTTGGGAAAGGGGAGTGGGGTGGGGGATGTAAAGATTTTGGAAAGGAGTGGAGTGTGAGTGAGTGAGTTGGGTTTAACACCGCTTTTAACAGTATTCCAGTTATATCGCGGCGTGTCAGCTTAATGTGGGAGGAAAGCCCGAAGTGATGCAGGTCTTAAACGTTTACCACTTCCGTGAAACCCACGAGCATGCGTATGGTACTGACAAACCTAAAAACATAATCGGGGCGAACCGGGATTCGAAACCAAAATCATAGGTTTCTGGCGTGCCCAAGGGACGCAACTCTACACAGCAAATCGCGGCACCTTAGACTGGGCCACAATGCCCCCTGGTGTGGAGTGAGGCATAAACCTTTGTGGAAAGTGGAGGGTGCATACCGGTAGCGCTTTCAGAAAACTGGGGATGCACCGATTAGAGGGGGAGGCGTGTATTGTGTTGATAAAAAAATAATTACTCAATGGTTATTTCTGTTGAAAAAAAATGAAAAAATATGTTATTCATTTTTCAATCAACATTATTTGTATACTCAAAATCTGGGCTCTGGATCTGTGTATTAAAGACATATAACAATAGTTCAATATATTCAATAGTATTTTATCACTATCTGGTCACCTTGCGTTTAAAGCTACTTTATTTTGTGACTTCATTTGCTAATTACACTATTAAAAAATATTGCACATAAAAAAATAAATCACAACCATTACAACAAATATAGAAGGTATATATCGGGTTATAACATATCTAGGAGATCTATATAGGATCTATGTCCAACTACAGTTACTAAATACATACACAGAAAAACATTTCCAATTAGAAAATTCAAGACTCTTCTGTTTAACAAGTAGTACAAACAGGATGGCAAGCTCTAAGAGAAACTGACTTTTGTCACAACAGCTAGGTACAACTCAACACAAACAAACTCGAAAGTTATTTATCCCAACATGGAATTGACACTGAAAGACTTTAAGGCCACAATGAAATAATTATTCGATTTTTATCCAAATTTTTCCAAAATGGTGGGAGGCATGTATTGTAATATTTAAACTCTTCACGGCATTGGTGAAAACTAAATGATGGTGGGGCATACATATAAAGAAAACAAAATGACAACACGGGAGACGAATCTCCGTGGTCGGCTCTGTTCAAACCTTATGAAAAAACGATTTTCTAAAATATTTTCTATTTGCCGAGAGCCTGAAATAATTTTTATTCCAAACAAGCCAGATAGGCCGGTAGCTACTTGTCTTGAAAGATACAGACTCCCATTTGTAAGTTATATAATACATGCTGGAGTAGATAAACAAATTATCAATTTCCTGATTTACTCGATGGCGTTTCCTGTGATATCGCTCTTTCTCTTCTTTCGACTTTTCCTTTGCTGTATTTATGTTAAAGTTGTTAGCAGTTCTCAAAAATTAAATATAAAAAAATAGTCTACCAACAACATGCTTTAAAAAAAACTGCCATATCGTCACTTTGGTAGAGGGAATTCATCGATTGTAACTCTACAATCCGAGATGAACCAATGCTTGCTTTAAACATCTGCACATTCAGACGATGATAACCAGCCCAATGTTAACACATCATGGAATCAAATTCAGTCATGATTTGCAGTAAAGCAAATATTATGTTTAATATGGTAAATCTACACTGACTGTTAAAATAAATACAATAATAGGTGCTGACATTTTCTACCCGACAGCCAGGCAGTTAAATATCAAGAATAAATATCACCTAGCACCACCAATGCTGCCCACAACGGCATAGCGACAGACAGTTATTTCAGACAAGGAGTGAGTGAGTTGGGTTTAACGCCGCTTTTTAACAGTATTCCAGTTATATCGCGGTGTGTCAGCTTAATGTGGGAGGGAAGCCCGAAGTGATGCAGGTCTCAGACGTTAACCACTTTGGTGAAACCCACGAGCATGGGTATGGTGCTGACAAACCTAGAAACATATTCGGGGCGAACCGGGATTCGAACCCACAATCATAGGTTTCTGGCGTGCCCAAGGGACGCAACTCTGCACAGCGAATCGCGGCACCTTAGATGACCGAGCCATCCATGCCCCCATTTCAGACAAGGAAGGTACTTGGCAACAATAAAAGTATTTGAGGCGGAGGCAACAGGTATCAAAATCTAATAATTACTTCATAATGGCCTGAGATGAAATGGTTTTAGAAAATATTTCCTGACAAAAACAGGAATCATGCAAATGTAAACACAAACAATCTCGTAAGTTGGGGTGGTATTGTTACAATTGAGATATGTCAAGTAAGTGAGATCAGTCAGCTGGCCAATATTAATAATCATGATTATTATCATAATTATTGTTAATCTTTATTTATTTTCTACACAGAGGTAGAACACTGTAGTGTGTTGTCAACTTTAACAATTTGATTAAATGTATTGACTTCCAATAAATTCTAAATAGCATAAGCAAGAGTGATTGAGTTTGCTAATTGGTTTTGTAACGCCGCTTTGAACAGTATTCCAGTTGCATCGCGGCATGTCAACTTAATGTGGGAAGAAAGCCCAAAGTGATGCAGGTCCCAGATGTTTACCACTTTGGAGAAACCAACGAGCATGGGAATGGTGCTGACAAACCCAGAAACAAAATCAGGGAGAACCGGGAATCAAACCCACGATTACAGGTTTCGAGTGTGCACAAGGGACGCAACTCAACAGTGAGTGAGTGAGTGAGCAAGGTTTTAAGCTGCTTTTAGCAATATTCCAGCAATATCACGACGGGGAACACCAGAAATGGACTTCACACATTGTACCCATGTCGGGAATCGAACCCGGGTCTTCGGCGTTACGAGCAAACGTTTTAACCACTAGGATACCCGACCGCCCCTCACATGTTGAAAAAGTTCGAGTAATAAGAAAGAATAATAATTCTGAGCTGTGTATGGTTAGGGAAAAGTAAAGTTCAAATATTGACTATCAGCACACAGGATAATATCATCAGCAATGACAATAACCGTCAATTTATTTTGTTAATAGTTTCCAATATGACATTAATGATGGGCCTGACCTCATATACTTGTAATTATCATGCTTAAACCTCTGGATATATGCCATGTACTTATCTGACGAAATAAATACAATCTCATTAAAATTCTCGCTACCGCTAAACAAAGATCTGAGGACATCCCATTATGGGTCACGACCTTTTGCGAATTTTGACCGACCAATGAAATGGCTGACAAGAAATCGACATTAGCCAATCAGAAGGCAGCTTTCTCGAGCTTTACGACAGTAGTTTCAAACTGGCGACTACGCTTCGAAACATGTTGACGTATTCTCGATTAAAAAAAAATTAAAACTGATAAGAAGAACATTCTAGAATGGCTTATAGATGGCCTAGATTGTATGGATATCATCATAAAACCCGTAACTGTCGTTTGGAATACCCCGTGTTAAATATTATGTGGTTGCATGATTAGAAAACACATTCCGACTGTCACTTTCATGATCTGGTAAGCGACGCTCTGAAAGGTCGTTCTGACGTGACCCTTAACGGGATGTCCTCAGATCTTTGTTTAGCGATAGCGAGAACTAAGATCTGATTTTAATGAGATTGTAATAAATATGACATGATTCTATTAGAATAACAACTGTAGTTTACAGATTGTGTCAGGCGGTAAGTCAAAGACTCACGGCAACTTACTGATGTAAGTCAAAATAGCAAACACAACAAATTTTGGGAAAGGCCTTTTAAAAAAATTAATTAAGCAAGGCAGAGCTGCATTATCAATGATTCAGGAGTACTTAAGGTGTAAATCTGTCATGTGTACTGAGTGTTAGAAACTGGAACTAGTCCCGTCGTCCTTGCCAAACTGCCCAACAGTTAAGGTATCATAAGGACTCGTAGAAATTTGCCATTTTTAAGGGTTTTGCTATATGTTATCATTAAAAGGACTAGTGGGCTAAAACTGTTTGTTTGTAACACTGTGTACATATTTACTAGTTACGCCATGTCAAAATCAACACAGATGACAGTATGAAAGAGGAGTTGTAGTACATGGATAAAGTTCATGATAAATACATATTACACAGTAGTTTTATATACAATCACAGAAAATGGATTTCGGGTTTTAAGCAAATGTTGACCAGCAAATGTTGACCGGCAAATATTTGGGACTGTTTCCATTCTTACAGTCAAATTATGCATACCAAACAAAAATCAATGATCCTATAGAAGAATGCACTCCTAAACTGGATAAATAATCAAACACATGCACAAACATGGCATTCACTGGAGGGAAAGCAAGTTTAGCAAAGGGCAGATAACTCTAATCTCAATTATCTCCCTTTAGTTGAATCACAAACAAGCTCTTTTCAATCGCTGCCATAATTGTGAGTATGGACCTTTACAAGACTCTTGAATATTTGTGAATGTCAGTGAGATGTGGAATACTAACTTAATATTCCAGATGAACTGACGTTTGTTTTACAAGAATGGTTTGAGAATGTGGACAAAAAGGAAAAGCACCTAACTCCTCTCTTACTTTTTCTCTAGGACATGCAGAATGGTTCCCTGATTGCCAAATGTATATGATGTTTCATTTTAACTAACAAAGCAGGGGGAATATTCTCATATCGACAAAACTATTAGTCAGTTGTGAATTTAACTCCATGCATGCTTGTAGGCTGCCTCTCACTGTGAGGATATAGTATAGAGGGCTCCGAGAACAAATAACACTGTGAGAAGTTGTGACTGCTGGCAGCAATATTATAGAGAGCTCTGGGAACAAATAACACTGTGAGGAGTTGTGACTGCTGGCAGCGAAGTATAGAGAGCTCTGGGAACAAATAACACTGTGAGGAGTTGTGACTGGTAGTAGCATTAATATATAGTCAGCTCTGGGAACAAATAACACTGTGAGGAGTTGTGACTACTGGCAGCGAAGTATAGAGAGCTCTGGGAACAAATAACACTGTGAGGAGTTGTGACTGGTAGTAGCATTAATATATAGTCAGCTCTGGGAACAAATAACGCTGTGAGGAGTTGTGACTGGTAGTAGCATTAATATATAGTCAGCTCTGGGAACAAATAACGCTGTGAGGAGTTGTGACTGGTAGTAGCATTAATATATAGTCAGCTCTGGGAACAAATAACACTGTGAGGAGTTGTGACTGGTAGTAGCATTAATATATGGTCAGCTCTGGGAACAAATAACGCTGTGAGGAGTTGTGACTGGTAGTAGCATTAATATATAGTCAGCTCTGGGAACAAATAACACTGTGAGGAGTTGTGACTGGTAGTAGCATTAATATATAGTGAGCTCTGGGAACAAATAACACTGTGAGGAGTTGTGACTGGTAGTAGCATTAATATATAGTCAGCTCTGGGAACAAATAACACTGTGAGGAGTTGTGACTGGTAGTAGCATTAATATATAGTCAGCTCTGGGAACAAATAACGCTGTGAGGAGTTGTGACTGGTAGTAGCATTAATATATAGTCAGCTCTGGGAACAAATAACACTGTGAGGAGTTGTGACTGGTAGTAGCATTAATATATAGTGAGTTGTGGGAACAAATAACACTGTGAGGAGTTGTGACTGGTAGTAGCATTGATATATAGTCAGCTCTGGGAACAAATAACGCTGTGAGGAGTTGTGACTGGTGGCAGCGAAGTATAGAGAGCTCTGGGAACAAAATATCACAGTGAGGAGCTTGTATGGATATACAGCTGATAAAGAAAGATATTGAACAAAAGTTATTTTATAAAGCACTGACCTTTTGCAATTATTCTATTTTGCATATTTTATCGTCAAAATGTAAGTCTGCATTCGTTGGCAAAAAACAAGACACTTTCCAGACAGTTTTGGCATTGTCATTATTTTTGCAATCTCGTAAAGCATTTGAAGAAAAGTATCGCCCTGAGATTGGCTTTTTTCTTGTGTGACCAATAACCATGCACTGCAGGTCAGGTGACAGGTCAAAGCAGACGTGACCCACGGTATGTGTACTACCTGTGACATTCCATGGACGTGAAACACCCCACAGAAACCCCCTCCTCACCATGACATCCCTAGGACATCAGTGCACCATTAGAACAATATCAGACAGTGATCATCTAGCAAGCAAAAATAGCTTTAAGGTAAATAGTATTTCCTTCATTCAGATCTTCTTTCCAAACTGAAGATTTTGGCAATATATCATCACTGGAAATATCACATCAACAAATATGCATCCACATTATGAATCTTATCTACCGAAAGTTAATCACAGGAGCAGCCGACAGAAGAAATAGGCAATGGTAAAACTCAATTAGGTGTACTGTCATTGGCTGAAGGCTGGCTTGAACACTGATTGGTTGAGGAGTTTTCACAGGTTGGCTGTGTTTGGTATGTGTCCTGATTGGTTGGAGCAGCACTGGCTTCAGCCAATGATGGGGCTGGATTGTTGGCTGGTGCAGCCACTTCACAGTATGGAGGAGGTTTCGGCATGTTGTTGGTGCCAGCTGCAAGATCCTGAGCATTTAAGGCCATCGGTGGTGAGGGACTACCTGTGAGGAGAACAGGGTTTGTTTTTTTAAATAATCAAATGTTTTCTGGTGTTTCTCAGGGAGTGAGTGTGTGAGTTATATTGCGGCGTGTCAGCTTTAATTTGATTAAATGTATTGACTTCCAATAAACTATAAATAGCATAAGCAAGAGTGATTGAGTTTGCTAATTGCTTTCGTAACACCGCTTTGAACTGTATTCCAGTTATATCACGGTGTGTCAGCTTAATGTAGGAGGAAAGCCCGAAGTGATGCAGGTCTGAGACGTTTACCACTTCGGTGAAACCCACGAGCACGGGTATGGTGCTGACAAACCTAGAAACATAATCGGAGCGAACCGGAATTCGATCCAACAATCTTAGGTTTCTGGCGTGCCTTAGGGCATCTTCTAGAGACAAGAGAGTCAACTGTCTATAAAAGTCCAGTTTCCACCCTTGCCGAACTAGGCTGGTATTATGGAGTTACATTTTGGCTGGACTAACGAGTTTATGCATATATAGTCCAATCTGTCGTGCAGATTTCGGTCGATTGCAGAATTTGCAAAGCATGTGCACCGCCAACTCGTTGTCAGCAGATATTTTCCAAATCTTTTCATGTTTTTAATCGAGGTGTGCACGTGATTTGATGCACTTCGCCATGTAAGACACGTTTTATCACAATATATATCTTGATTATTGATCAGATCGTCCTGACCGGGTGCCACCATTTTGTGTGAAGCAAACACAAGTGATACGAGAGGTGGAATCTGATTGGTCCATAGGAGAGGCTTAGATGGGACAGTATCTGGCAGTATCAAGCTGGTTTGTTTGTTTGTTTATTTGTTGTTTAATACCTCATTCAGCAATATTCCAGCTATATGACAGCGGTCTATAAATAATCAAGTCTGGACCAGACAATCCAATGATTGACAAAAGCATCGACCAATGCGGTTTGGATACCATGAGTGAGTAAGTGAGTGAGTGAGTTGGGTTTAACGCCGCTTTTAACAGTATTCCAGTTATATCACGGCGTGTCAGCTTAATGTGGGAGGAAAGCCCGAAGTGATGCAGGTTTCAGACGTTTACCATTTTGGTGAAACCCATGAGCAGGTGTATGGTGCTGACAAACCTAGAAACATAATTGGGGCGGACCGGGAATCAAACCCACAACCATAGGTTTCTGGCATGCCCAAGGGATGCAACTCTGCACAGTGAATCACGGCTCCTTAGACGACCGGGCTACCCGTGGCCCCTGGGATACCATGAGATGTATCTACCAAGTCAGTGAGCCTGGCCACCCGATCCCGTTAGTCGCCTCTTACGGCAAGCAAGGGTGGCTGAATTTTCTCAAACATACTCTTAACTGGCTAAGAAAATTCTTAGCTAAGAGTTACATTTAGGAGTGTAGTTATAATAGCTCTGAAGGTACCTTTTAGCTATGAGAAAAGTGTACTCTGTACTAGCCTACTGAGATACCATGCCACAGTTTAACATGGATAGCCCATTCGGATATGGTATGCAGAATCAAAGCTGACCCCAAGCACCAGGTTGGGTAACAACAAGTACCATCTTTTAACATCATACATACTTTAACATCCTTTGGTATGATGTGGCCAGGTAATCGAACCACCATCCTTCCACTCTCTGGGCAGATTTCCTAACCACTAGACCATGGAGGCGGTCTTAAAATCATCGAATAATTTTTTTAAATTACATACCTGCATAGTTGGATGCTATAAGTGAATATTGAGGTGGCAGGTCAGCCTTGTTCTCAGGGTACATGCCTGGATGGGAGGACACCTGCAAAAATACAAAGCTTTCATCAAGACGCAGAAAACAACCAATACTATAAAAGTTGTTTGTTTGTTGTTTAACGCCTCACTCAGCAATATTCCAGCTATATGACAGCTTCAGTAATTAAACGAGTGAGTGAGTTTGATTTTTCGCCACTTTTAGCAATATTCCAGCAATATCACGGCGGGGAACACCAGAAATGGGCTTCACACATTGTACCCATGTTGGGAATCGAACCCGGGTCTTTGGCGTGACGAGCGAACGCTTTAACCACTAGGCTACCCGACTGCCCCCTGTAATTAAACGAGTCTGGACCAGACAATCCAGTATTGACCTCATGAGCATCGATCTACGCAAGTGAGATACGATGACATACATCAACCCAGTCAGTGGGCCTGACCACCTGATCCCGCCAGCTGCCTCTTACAACAAGCATAGCCACCTTTCATGGCAAGCATGGGTTCCTGAAGACCTATTCTTTACCATATTTTAAAGTAACTTCATTGAGTGAGTATGTAAATTGAGTAAAGTTAAACCTTACAAAACCGGACAAGTTAACGTTACTTTGTATTACCCTTAGTCCTGATGAGTAGAGCTGTCGGATGTTGGTAAGATGAGAAAGGCCTGTATCTGGTGATTGTTACTTTATTTCTTAATTATCTTTGGTCCTAACAGTGCCTAATTAGATTTGTTTGGGTGTTTGTGGTGCAGACAAAAATTGTAACTGGGTCAAATCTAGGACTTACCGTATTCTACGTAATAAGCGCCCAGGGCGCTCTAAAAATTAGAAATAGGGGGCTCTTGTTAGAATATTATTGGTGAAAGATAAATTTTGTTGTTTATGCTGACAGCCTGAAATATTTATGTATGACAGATATATTTTTCCATAATATAATCGCCCATAATTAAGGGTGCATATAACACACGAGTGCGTATTATACGCGAATAAGTAAGTCTTGTGTGCACTGATCAATCAGAAGTGGTGCTAATTGGGATTGTTCACTGGCCAATATTTTAGCAAATATCGCCGTAGGCGGTTATTAGAGTGGGGTGCTTATTACATCGAATATGGTAATACAGGGTACCTAAGGGAAGCAACTCTGCACAGAAAAACTGTGACTAACATTATAAGCTCCATAAGATACATTATTGTACAAGCCTGTGTGTCATACTGATTTTACTAAACGAGTGTCAGTATTCTTGTAATTCCCAAACGACAGCGAGGGTAAGCATGGTAAGACATGAATTCTTACCTGAGTTTCGTAAAATCAGTATGACACACATGCGAGTGTAATAATTACTTTATTACTCTTTATGCCTTAATCCTTTTGAGCTCCCCCTTAGAAAAATGCACTGATCAGGACTGACGTCTTAGAACATCACTAGTGTCTAATGACATCAACTGTTTCAGCTATGATGTTGTTTCTAGTATGACGTCATTCCGACCTTATATCACAATAAAATTCTAATGCCTTCAACAATGTCGTCTGGGTGACGTATACAATGTACTGGTGTGCATGAAGTGAGCGAGTGAGTGAGTTGGGTTTAATGCCGCTTTTAACAGTATTCCAGTTATATCACGGCGTGTCAGCTTACTGTGGGAGGAAAGCCCGAAGTGATGCAGGTCTCAGACGTTTACCACTTCGGTGAAACCCACGAGCACGGGTATGGTGCTGACAAAACTAGAAACATAATCGGGGCGAACCAGGATTCAAACCCACAATCATAGGTTTCTGGCGTGCCCAAGGGATGCAACTCTGGGTGTGCATGAAGTGATATTTGCGTAGGTGCACAGACTTATGGGTAATATAGCATGGTCTGACCTCTGAGTAGGGTGGAGGTAGAAAAGAGATCTCTGGTGGGTCGGAAGCAGCCGGGCCGACGTAGGCCAAGTACGACTGAGAGTTGCGGGTGCTGCTGCCACGTATGTGATTGGTCCGTCTTGTTGTGATCGGTGCCCGCTGGCGCTGCTGGTGAAGTGTTGCCATGCGACGGCGGCGGTAGTAGCCACACCCACCAAAACAGGACATCATGATGAAGATGATGACAAACCTACATCAACAATAAAAACATATTCAGAAAATGACAAACCGGCGAGATGAGTTGACAGCTTCAATTGACCCTAAGGCGTTGTAGCTCACCTGGATATGTAAACAAGTGTTTGAATGGCATTTAGAAGCTATGCACATAAGGAAGAGAGTGAGTATGGTTTTATGCCGCTTTTAGCAATATTCGAGCAATATCACGGCAGGGGTCACCAGAAATTGGCTTCACACATTGTACCCATGTTGGGAATCAAACCCGGGTCTTCGGCGTGACGAGCGAACGCTTTAACCACTAGGCTACCCGACCGCCCCATAAGGAAGAGAGGTTATGGATGTCAACTGTTTAAGAACAACAAAAGTAATAAGATAACAAAGGTGGAAACTTAACAAGGGAAGCCAACAGTTAATTGGCGCTGATAGGCGATTAGCAGTGGACAAATGGAAGCCAGGACTTAAATCACTGATTGGAAATAGGCAGTGGACAATGGCTAAATGGGAGGCAGGGCATAGTAAGGTACATATACATGTTCTCTGCTTCATAGCATTTGTTCACCTGATGATGGAGTAAGTATATATACTCATATATTCCTCATAATAAAGAAGTTGACATCAATTAATTCTCTTCCTTGTGTACAACGGAGTGGTGGGTGAATGTTGTTTTACGCCACTTTTAGCAATATTCCAGCAATATCATGGAAGGGGACACCACAAATGGGCTTCACACATTGTACCCATGTAGGGAATCGAACATGGGTCAACGTGTCAAGCAAACGCTTTGACCACAAGGCTACCCCACCGCCGCTTAAAACAGGGAACAAGCACATGAAACTTTAGCTATTACCAAGAAATACAATTTGAGGAAATTATCAGCATGGTCAAAATGCGAAGGTCAAGTCAAGGACAAAATTGAAAATATTGCTATGAGAGAAATATATGCTTAGCCTCACTACTATCAACACATGTACCAAATTTCCCTACATTATGAGTGAGTGAGTATTGTTTTACACCGCTTTTAGCAATATTCCAGCAATATCACGGCGGGGGACACCAGAAATGGGCTTCACACATTGTACCCATGTCGGGAATCAAACCCGGGTCTTCGGCGTGACGAGCGAACGCTTTAACCACTAGGCTACCTGACCCCCGGCCCTACATTAAGACAATAAATGACTGAGAAGTGGCCATAAACAGGTTTTTCAATATGGCGGCTATATAGAAAATCAGATTGGGGGTCATTTTTAAAAGGGAGAGGTCCAAATGTCAAAATCCTCTCTCAGATAAATTTACTGACTACAACATACTACATTTGTGTGTGACTGGTTCCACTTCATTGATGAGAAGATGATGTTTATGATGGATGATGCATGACTGACAAACAGGCCATCAACCAAGTGAGCTATAAATATAATCTGATAAGCAGTAATACTTTTAATGCCTCCCACTGCAAACTTATGAGTTTGGCACAAAAACATTATGCATACAGTTTGCTAAACACATTAACATGGTTAAACTGCTGGAGAATGGGTTACAAAAGATTGACCATCATGGGAAGCCATGTATGAGATTCTCCCTTCCATCCACAAAGAAGTTGCTATGGAACCTCACCACCCTTTGTCTATCTGACCAAAATTCAAATTTGCATTACAAATTACACATTTTAGGAGAAAAAAATCTTCCATTGTATTTCACAGTATTGATTCCCATCATCCTTGTGCATTGTCCAGACAATTATCATCTTGAAAAAGTAGATAGTTTTTGAAATATTTCACAAGTTGTATTTGAAATTACTCTGTTAACTCTAAGTCAGTTGGTGCCATACTGGAAGAACACACCCCTCCCTCTTTTATACACACCCTGTACACATTGCAACATATTCAGAAGAACAAAAATAACAAGACCAAAAGTGGGCAGGGCTCACTAATACCCCCCGACTACTCCAACATATTTCTACGTTTAAAACATGAAAAAAGCAATATTTCCTCAGTATATTTACCGTATTCGACATAATAAGCAACCAGGGCGCTCTCAAAATTAGAAATAAGGGGCTCTTATTAGAATATTATTTTGATGAAAGACAACAGAGTTGAAAGATCGTAAATTTCGTGGTTTATGCTGACAGCCTGAAACGTTTATATACGACAGATATTATTTTTCCAGAATTTAATTATCCATAATTAAGGGTGCATATAACAAACGTATTATTCACGAATAAATAGTCTTGTGTACAAAATATCAAGCGGAAGGGGTGCTTATTGGGATTGTTCACTTGCCAATACATTAGCAAATATCGCCGTTGGCGCTTATTAGAGCGGGGCGCTTATTACGTCGAATACGGTATATCAAAATCTGCACTGCACCCCTCCTATTGGTATAATAAATGTACCCCCAATTAGAAAAGAATGAAGTAGTTCTTAAGTTATAGGTTGCACAAATGTTGAAGTGAAAAAATATTCACAACATGAAAAATATATTTTTTCAGAAAATAGACAGATCAAAATCAATCTTTGCACTGCACCCCTTCCATTAGTATGGAACTGTTCCCTATATGCGAACATATTCCATGCAGTAGTTTTCAAGTTATAGGTTGCACAAATGTTCAAGTACTATTATTCTAAGTAAACAAATGAAAAAAAGCTGCATTTTTTTTTAACGTCCAAATATTGAAATCAAACTTCACACTGCACCTATCCTATAGGTATAAAAAAGTGTTCACCTAGTTTTAAAAGAATCTATGTAGTAGTTTACAAGTTATAGGTCGCACACCAAAATATCCTCCAAAGGAGGTGAGGTGAAATGTTAAACGTCACATCTAAGATTATTGCACTTATATAGCGACGTGCATGGACGTGTGTGCCATGACACAGTTTAACATGAATACCCCACTCAGACACAGTATACTGACTCCGAGCCGACCAGTCTTTGTTTTAGCGCCACACAGGGTAACAACAAGTACCATCTTTTAACGTCTTTTGGTATGACGCGGCCGGGGATCAAACCCCGGACCTTCCGCTCTCCGGGCGGATGCTCTACCACTAGACCACAGAGGCGGTCTCCTCGGAAGGAAGGACTGATGGACAGAATTCCTTGGTTTAACAATATACCCCTGCCATTTTGGGTCGGGAGTATAATAATCTTCAAGTTCTTAGACTGAATTTCTTTCCCACCTCCCAAACATGATTTTCACACACCCAAAATCTGGATAGAAAGAAATATAAATTTGGCCTTTTTATAAACTATTCAACATGTTTAATTAATTCAAATGTTCTACTCATGTTTCTTACCAGAAGTACCACATATTCCAGATATGGAGTTTGTATGACCTGCGGAAATTGTCCTGAGCATCTCTGTCGTAGCAGCAAGACTTGACATTGGCACAGCATGTGTAGGGGGAGAAACAGCTGAAACAGACCACAGAGTGAGTGAGGGGGGTGGGACCAATGCGGATATGATAGGGAAAACAAAAACATACACATTTCTGGGGCCTTATCACTTCATGCCCACAGGCAAATAGTGTTGGCAAACCAAGGATCATAATCACATTGATCCTTGGATTCAAACCAATGTGATCCTGGCATGACTAAGGGAGGCAACTCTGCAGTGCCAATTGCTTCCCCTTAGGCCACTGGGCCCAAGTTCCTGCCCAGCCCTTGACACTTCTGTTACACTCTTGATAACATGGCTGCCACCAGTATGGAAGAGGCCTTTACAAGAATCTTGAAATGTTTCCCTTTAACCCCAAATGTATGGACATTTCTATTTTTGTGTGTCTCTTTGGGAATGACATCATGATGGATTTTGAAAAGGCTTACAACTTACTTACTATTTCCCAGATGAATTTATGTTTTTTAATAAGAGATTGCAGACTAAGCATGCTAAGAGATAAGCACGCAACTTCCCCATTACATTCTCACTATACGCCGCTTTTTGTTTTAGCAATATTCCAGCAATATCATGGATGTTGTCACCAGAAATGGGCTTCATTCATTGTACCCATGTCGGGAATCAAACCCGGGTCTTCGGCGTGACAAGTGAACGCTTTAACTACTAGGCTACTAGGGTTGCGACCGGGTACGAAAACTGAACTCGAGTACCCGGCAGACAATACCCGAACCGGACTTGAGTACCCGTAGTTTAATGTTGTCCCACTTGTTTGTAATGCTTTTGCGAATAAAAGGTCATCAAACACCCATTGATCTATTCTAAGGTATTATGTTTTTCATTAAATGCCTGCATGGCTTACCTAAAACCACAAGTGACGCAGAATATCAAAGTAAACTTGCGCCAGTCATTGAGCACTGGAAACAGCAAGATCACATGACTGCCTGACACGTGAGTCGTGACATGAGTAATAAAAATGTGTCTGAGTGATCTAGGTTTGTATTGTAATTTGTAACATTGCACTATTTCAGTATTTCGTTACGGGTACTCGAGTCCTGAAAATTGGACTCGAGTCCTAAGCTACCCAACCCGTTATCGGGTACTCGAGTACCCGTCGCAACCCTATAGGCTACCCAACAGCCCCTTCAAAAATCAATATTCCAGTTTCAATAACACATGCATTACTTTGATGATGACAGAAAGACGACCCACATTGACCAGTGAGCAATGTTGTATTCTGCTAGACCATTAGGTACATGGCCAGGGCCATCAGGATAAGTATCAGGTGGCTATCTTACTGGATGCAATAGATAAGTCTGAGAACGTGATAAAGATGCAACTTCTAACAAACAAACAGAAAGCAGTTGCTCTACACATGGTAACTAGGGGCAAGTATTGACAGAACAGCTCTATTCCATGCCACACTTACTGAATACCATTCCATGCCACACTTACTGAATACCATTCCATGCCACACTTAATTAATACCATTCCATGCCACACTTACTGAATACCATTCCATGTCACACTTAATGAATACCATTCCATGCCACACTTACTGAATACCATTCCATATCAGACTTACTGAATACCATTCCATATCACACGTAATGAATACCATTCTATATCACACTTAATGAATACCATTCCATGCCACACTTACTGAATATGAATACCATTCCATGTCACACATACTGAATACCATTCCATGCCACACTTACTGAATATGAATACCATTCCATGTCACACATACTGAATACCATTCTATAGGGGTGTGCAATATAACTGGTATACCAGTATATTGCAATACGACCGTCAGGAATACACATATTACAATACAACCCTTGCGTATTGATATTTCTCAATACAGTCACAGAAGAATTAATATATAATTATATCAATTTTATCTACCATCTTAAGGCATTTGGATGGACTGGGTAACTACCCAAACCATGTAAACAACACACACTTCATGCTGGTTACATGCGATAGGTACATGTAGTCTCGTTTATTCATACTACCAATCTCGCAATCTAAAGTCGAGATTATTGAATGAAGAAGTAACATCTGAACAGTACACATATACATGATTTGGGCCCCAATACATTATGCAATATGTATCGCAATACAGCTCTCTGTATGGCGATATATTGCAAAACGATTTATGTGGTAATACGCCAACCCTACCATTCCATGTCACTGCGATCATTATTACTGAATACCATGAAATTTATTGCAGCAGCTCCAGCTTTTGGTGTCCAGATTTCATAACTAAGGCATGCTCTTTCTACAAAGTGAGTGAGTGAGTGAGTGAGTTGGGGTTTAACTCTGCTTTTAACAGTATTCCAGTTATATCGCGGCGTGTCAGCTTAATGTGGGAGGAAAGCCCGAAGTGATGCAGGTCTCAGACGTTTACCACTTCGGTGAAACCCACAAGCACGGGTATGGTGCTGACAAACCTAGAAACATAATCGGGGCGAACCGGGATTCGAACCCACAATCATAGGTTTCTGGTGTGCCCAAGGGACGCAACTCTGCACAGCGAATCGCGGCGCCTTAGACGACTGGGCCACCCGTGCCCCCCTTTCTACAAAGATTTCAAAGAGTATCCTATGGTTTGTTCAAAAGTTGTCAGGGCTACAACATTCAAGGTCTTAGTAGAGCTTTCAAAATGTTTTATGGTCGATATATGGAGGACATTTCCAAATTTGACACATCAGTGAACAAAACGTCTGATGCAATTCCTTATTATGACTTGTATCAGATCCTACCATGTTTTTTTCAGGGGAACACTTACCTTGCCTTTGCATGTGTTTGCAATGGATGCCGACAGTGGGGCAGTATATGCTCACTTTTTCACAAACACATGGTATCATCAATATTGGATAGTGATTCAAAAACACAAAAACACGCTTAGGGACCGACCATTTGATATTTATTGGGGGGGGGGGGGGGGGCTACAAACCTGATATTCTTTAAAACTAAACTATGAATCAAAATATGTTTTTCTAATAAACACATTGCACCAAGAAAATATCAAATGGAAAATGGTCGGCCCCTTACGATAGTCATAATCATTCAATGGAAATTTTTTAAATGAAAATGTTTTTGTCATTTATACCGTTATATATCGTATTTGACGTTATAAGCGCCCACGGTGGTATTTGCTAATATATTGGCTAGTGAACAATCCCAATTAGCACCCCTTCCGATTGATCAATGTTCAAAAGACTTATTTATTTGCGTACAATATGCACTCATGTGTTATCATATATGCACCCTTAATTATGGGCAATTAAATTCTAGAAACATATGTCGTACATAAACATTTCAGGCTGTCAGCTTAAACAACAAAATTTATCTTTCAACTGTTTTTTTTTACCAAAATAATATTCTAACAAGAGCCCCCTATTTTTTTTTTTGAGAGCACCTTGGGCGCTTATTACGTCGAATACGGTAATACTTATTGTATACCATTTCATATACATGCTGTATGATGTACATAATTGAATATCACACTACAAACACCAATGAATATTCTATTTACCATATACCACTGAATATCATACTTACTGGATATCATTTCCACAGTTTTCAGCTAAAGCCTGGAAAACAAAAGAAAATAATCAACAAAATAACAGATCAACAGATAAAATAACTATCTACAGAAAAGTGACAAATCTACAGATACATTGAGGCTGACCTTGTCACTCTTTACACAGAATTGTTTGATAGGCATTAGACAATTTATGGATAACAACTTCTTTAATTACTGTAAAGGCGACGTTTCAATATAAATCCTTATAACCATTGTCAAGCAGGACCAGTTATAAGGATCTATACCGAAGTGTCGCCTTTACCATGTTAACAGTAATTAAAGAAGTTTTTATCCATAAATTGGGTCCACTTTGTCTTCACACAGAGTCAACATTCACCCTGAAGTCAACACTTACATGGATGAAGGGAAACATTGTTCCGTTCGACAAGGACAAGAAGCTTGAATTGTTGCTCATAATCCCTTTCCCCAAGTCCTCCGCTAAGACTGATGACACCACACTACAACGCCCATATCACTAATCACTTGCTCTCATCTACTTACTCACCCATAATCCCTCACAACTTGAGATCGATAAGCTTCTTGCTCACACTCGAGTCTCATTGCCAGATCTCATTTTCATAGTACAATTCCTACTGGCAGGTGAAAATATAGACGATGAATAGTTTTCTGTGATAACAAATATAAGATTTGGTGAGAATGTGTGATCATGATTTTGGAGGAAAGCCAGAAGTGATGCAGTGGCCTGATGCTACGAGGGGTGGCGTTGATGAAGTTGGTTGCTAGATACTTTTCAACATAATCCCCTGCAAGGTCCACGCACTACCAATATAACCCCTTCCTAAGATGTGGGAGGAAAGCCCGAGGTGATGCAGTGGCCTGATGCTACAAGAGGTGGCTGAAAAGTCCTGATCCTAATAGGGCTAGGACAGGTGACTCAGGTACCCGGGTCGGGTGGTTCCTGAGTAGGACCCGAATACCCACAGGACTACCCGGACCCGTGGTTAGTCAAGTGATTATATTGTTTAATGACAAAAATTATCTGGAACTCTATGGTTACACTATAAGTGATAAATGTTCACATTTCTTTCTGACTTTGCACACATTCCTTCTGACTTTATATGTTTGCATAATGATAAAACATCAGTCAATAACCAGATTGGTTTATACGGGTATCAAAATTTATTTTGACAGGAGTATGGTCAAACTATTCCCAATCGGACATGTTTTACCTATCTCTTGAGACCTACAGTGGGTACCCGGGTAGTAAATTTGGACTCGCCCTAGGGAGGAAAGCCTGAAGCGATGCAGTGGCCTGATGCTACAAGAGGTGGCTGAAATGTTTGTGAACCTAACTACTATGGACCACGCTGATGAAGTTGGTTTGTTTTTGGCAGGGTCCTAACCCGGCTGATGATGCTGGAGAGCCTGGAATCGGCTGCTATAGAAGGATTCTTCCTGTGGTGCAAAAAATCTTCCACAGCAGAAATGACTACATTTGCAAATTTTAGGGCAGGCAGTTCTTTCTTCAAAATTGGGAAGATGTAGAAATCAGAAGGTGCCTAACCTAGGTAACACAGAGGATGTTCAGTGCTTTCAATGATGTCAATGAGCTCAAAGCCTCAGTCATGCATTGCAGAGGCAACAACAGACTTGTGCACTGGTCCTGGTGGAACTTTGTTTGTTTTGTTTGTTTGTTGTTTAACACCGCACTCAGCAATATTCCAGCAAAATGACGACAGTCTGTAAATAATCGAGTCTGGACCAGACAATCCAGTGATTGATATCATGAGTATGGATCCACGCAATTGGGTTAAACGATCAAACTATCAAAATTGTTTGCCCTGTGATAGTACCATATCGATAGGAATTAAAAATTGCCAATAGCATTGTCAAGAGTATGCATAAAAATCGACAGTTTCAATAGTTGCAATTAGTTATAAAGAACACATGAATTATACTAATGTTTAGAACAGTACCCCACATTATTGCATTAGTAAAGTATTAAACCAACTTTAAGGCTTGATAATTATATTAAGTCACCCCTAATGAGTGAGTGAGTGATTTAAAGTTTAACGTCACATCGGCAATATTTCAGCCATATCGTGACAAACACCCCCAATGAGTATGGCGTTGACAAACCAAGAAACAATCAGGGCAAATCTGGGAATGGACCACGATAAGCTGCTTGCACAAGGGAGGCAACTCTGCACAGCAAAGGAAGCAACAGTCCAACACTATCATGGCTGATGTCAGAGTGAGTGAGTGAGTATAGTTTTACGCCGCTTTTAGCAATATTCCAGCAATATCACGGCGGGGGACACCAGAAATGGGCTTCACACATTGTACCTAGGCTGATGTCAGAAATTGGTTTCACACATTGTACCCACCTGGGAAATTAAGCCAGGTCCTTCAACTTGACAAGGAAATGCTTTAACCACTACCGGTAGTTTTTTAGTGTTTTTTGACAACTGAGTTTAGCATGTTTAGGCCTGCTTTTTTCTCTTTATTTTTCTAGATTATTTGCTGAGAAATTCAGGTTGGAAAACTTTAAAAAATATAAATAAATAAATTTCAATTTCAAATATCATGAAAATATTATTTTTCCCTTTCATAAAAATGACCAAACTGTTAATCAGGTAGAAAAGAAAATTGAGGTTTTTTTTAATGAACTTATTTTTATTGATAACAACAACAGTACATGAGTTGGGTTTTTTAACATTCGGAAAAATAAAAGACCCGTTGCTTTTCATTTTTTTGGCAGATTCTTTTGTACCCACTGTACCCATGTTAGGAATCAAACCCGGACCTCTGGTGTGACACGCGAACACTTTAGCCATTAGGCTACCCCACATCCCTTGGAATGTTGATAGTCATGATTAACACACAAAGGGTAAATACAACACGCGAGACACAAATGAATTGATCGGTGAGGATGAACATGCCACGCCCTTAATGGGCTCTGTGTCGTATACAGACAATTAACCACAACCATGATCAACAACACACGTGACTCAAACATTGATATGTGTACCATAACCTGCCATCTGATATCAACCCGCTCACTGGGATGTTCTACTCCTCCTAAATAAGATTCAGTAACCATGGCAACACAACACCAAATACTGGTAATTGAAACTGATAATAGATTTTCCTTCTCATATAGCTATTTAGTATTTGCTGATGTTTAAAAAAAAATACCCATTGATGCCGAACGACATCAACACTATTCAGCTATGTCATTCTTGTGACGTCATTCCAACATGACACACATAACGATTCGAATGTCAACAATGATGTCTGGGTGTCGTAAACTATACACTGGTGTACGTGAAGTGATATTTGCACTGGTGTTTATACAATTTTTATGAACCTGCTTTTTTCTAATCTTAAGGGGGGCGTCACGCCGAAGAACCGGGTTCGATTCCCGACATGGGTACAATCTGGAAGCCCATTTCTGGTGTCCCCCGCCGAGATATTGCTGGAATATTGCTAAAAGCAGCGTAAAACCATACTCACTCACTCACCCTAATCCTATGGTCATGATAGGTAATAAATAGAGGTTATCACGCGTTTGTGTTTGGGGATGGTAAATATCCTGCATTAGGGGTAAACATTGTACTTAGCGAGCCTTGGCGAGCTAAATACATAGTGTTTCAAAATATTGTGAAGTAACCCAGCGTATTCGATTAGCAAATCAGCAACTTATTTTGAAATTATAAACGGGCATTGCGTCAACCATTTTGTGTCAACCTGGCCAAACTCCACGATGACAGTTACATCATGATCATTTGCCATCACACTTTCTTGTGGAAGTATCGTGGTATTTTTGAGTCCTATAAAGCTCTCAAACCCACGCGTCACCAGTTTGCAGGGACTAGATGAATAGTGTTTTTAAATATTTAACTTAAATACCCACATGTGTAAAAACTAGTGGGTAACAGAAATTCGAATACCCAGATAGAATTACTGATACCCAATGATTTTAAAATGCATGGGTAAAATACCCACATCACCAAAAGCTTATCTGGAGCGCTGCACTTGTAAATGGGTACATTATACAATTTGAGGTTATGGCATATGATGAAAGTTATCATATGATATGTCAGTTTTCATATCATACCCAATATCAAACCAAGACCCCTATATCAGCCCGCGAGTCAAAGGTCCCCGGGCTGATATGGGGGGGGGGGGGGGGGGGGTCTCAGCCTGATATGTGGTGTGATATGAATACTAGGGGTGACTATTGTCTGGAAATCACTATTGTGATAACTATTGACATTGAAAGAAACCAGCGTTAGTGCCTATTTCTAAGTCCTGGACCCACTTGCACAAAGCGATCTTAGTGCTAAGATGATCTTAACTCGCATACTTTAACATAGGCTTACAATAGTCGTAGCGCTAAGATTGCTTTGTGCAAGTGGGCCCTGTAGTCCTTACCAAACTGCCCAATAGTAAAGTTATCCTAAGGACTAGTAGAAATTGGCCCATTTTAAGGGTTTTGCTCTATGTGATCATTATGAGGACTAGTGGGCAAAAACTGTTAGTTTCTAACCCTGGAAACTGTTGCGATAACTATTGATATTGCAAGCAACCATTGCGATAAATATTGATAGTTTTCAGTGTACCATTTTAGAAGGATTTTAGAGTTGAATTAAACCTTGGAACTGAAGTTTCCTTTAAATGTGATAACCATAACCCGATAACGACAAATAAAAAGTAAAGTTTGAGATATGATTGATTTGTTTTTTCTTTACCCTAATAATTTAAGAAAAAGAAACTTCCACATTACCATGTGTAAATTACTGCCATTCATGATCAAAAGAAAAACAAATTTGAACAGCAATGCATGTATTTTATTGAAGCTGTAAAACTATGGTAAATACAATCAAAACTATCGATATACCTAAATGAAATCGATACTTTTGATGGGAAACTGATTTAACAATCGATTTATTGACTTACAAATATCAATTTATCAATATTTTGATTTATCGTGACACCCTTAATGAATACCCCATGTAATAACCTCTATATAATTAAGGAGGA